TCGACTGCCATCTCTATTTGTTTTCCGTTGGCCCCTCGAGTTGCATGTCAATTGTCGCTTTGACATTCTTTCCGCTTTTCCCGTTGGGGAGGCTCATTAAAAACGGCGAAAGTTTAAGGCCTACTAAACACTTTTTCCCCCCGCAAACGAACAACACGCACACAAACGATTTGGATACGGGAACCTTTGCTTTTCCCCAAGTGTAAAGGGAGTGTTGGTTGTTATGCGTTCCCCGGCGCAGTTAACATATTCATTTTGTCACACCTCGAAATATGAGCAAAGACAAAGGGCAAGCCTTGAGGAGGAAAAGCCGAGAAAAGCGTAAAGGCGGAAAAGCTGTTTCTTGGCTCAAGGTGCGTGTCAATAGGTTGATGTGTTTATTTGCCAGGCCAAGCAGCAATAATCGATGTGTGTGACAATTAGGGCCTGGCACAACAAAAAAATGCATTTTCTTCAAGACAAAGTGTTCTGAACAGAAGAAGTTGAGCCAGAATTTTCGCCACACAGATCTTTTCTCTGGAGAAAACTCCCGCTGGAGTGAAATGCGAAAAAGAGCCCTTGGGGCCGAAAATCGAAGCTCGCGTTGAAAATGAAATTTAATTTTATGACTCATTATTTTACACACGCACACCTCGCACAAGGGCGTCGCTCTAGGGGGGATTGGGGGAGGGGTAAGGGGTAAGCGGCTAAAGACAGGCACTCACACGCGTAGAGAGCACATAAATATCGTTTGCTTGGATGGGAGGCCGTTAAATGAGCTCCGTGAGACATTTTGCGTTCCGCCTCGATTGTCAACAACCCAGCCCCAAAAAAAGAAGAAAAAAAGCGAAACGAAAAAATAAACACCACCCACACCAGCACCACCACATCTTAACCCCCAGTAGGCCCCCGTTAACCCACGATTTTTCCTTGTTTATTTGGCTTATTTATTTCGCCTTGGCTGCTGTCGTTTTATGCACACTTTTACTTTTACTTGCCCTAACAATTGCCTTTGTGTCTTCGCATGTATGGGTGTGTGTGTGTGTGTGTGTGTGTTGGCGACACTTGTGTGCGTCATGCAGGACCTCCTTACCAAGTGGGTGGTGGTACTTACCTCCTGGAACCAGCGGGGAGTCGTGTCTATTTAAATCGAAGCGAAATCAATTTCGGGACTCGCGTTTTATGCACAAGGCAAACATAAAATGCGCGCATGAAGAGAGCTTAACCTGCCCCCCTCTCAGAAGCCACCCACCACCCCACCTCCTTTGGAAGCCACCCCCCACCCACTCGAATGGCAAGTGGTGCGGGAACAGCTGGCTGAAGTGGTTTCAGTAGCTGATGCATTCACATTTGAGCACATTGTTGACAATTGAAATGTTCTGTGTGTGCGCTCGTGTTTGAACTGCTTAACGGCGATCAGGGGCGTCGTTTTTAAGGGGGTTTTATGCTAAAAGTAAGCCATAATTATGTGAAGCAGTGGTTATTCAGCTAGTAATTAAAATGGATTGATGGGTGGCAAAAAACGGAGGAAGCATTCAAATACAGTGTCTTAATTACCAAAATTTATATTTGCCATATTTCAATTTTATTTACAGTTGTTAAGTGCTGAAAAATTATATTTTCTTCTTGTCAAATAAAGTACATATAGCATATATTCTTAAAAAATATATATACATGTAGCATATATTCTTAAAAAACTCTTTTAACATGTCACATTGTTTTATAAATTTATAAATGAAAGGGTTTCTATTTTGAGCCCCCATTTCTTCCCCAACTGCTTCACCTGTGCATGTCTGTGACCTTCTGCTCCCTTCCACCACCTCCCCAAGCTAACTCCACCTCCCCCTCCCCCCAAATAAGATCCCCTCGAGTGGCTCCTTGTGTGACTGCCTGTGCAAAAATAATCGCATTTCCGATTCGCGATTTGTGATTAGCGTGCGATAAACATTCGTCGGCTTCTATTGTGCGTTTTCTTTATGTTGCCACCGATTTTGCCCTAAACGGGTATATCCCAGACGTACCTTAGCCCCCCAAGTACCCAAGTATTCATCACCCAGCCCCCTTAACCCTCCTTTTTCGCCCTGCTTGCTCGGGCATAAATATTACACGTTGATTTCAACTGAATTGGAAACTTTTATTTATTTACTTTTCGCATTCTTATTTTATTCTATTTATTTTTCGCATTTCGCGCGTTCCGTTCGATTTTTGTTTATGCGGTGATAAAAGTGTTGCCTTCTGCCCCCTTTTCCACTTTTTGGCCATTCCACCAACGATGACGACTTGAATATTCAATTAAAAAAACTTTGCATTGGGAGCTGCAGGGGGACATTGCTGAATGGTTATTCATAAGCACGCTGCCCGGCCATGAATCAATGCTGGAAAGTCCAAAGTCCAGAAGGGGTTTCGGGCCAGGAAGAGGGGCTGCCGGGTGTCTGGCCAAGTGACAGTCATTGTAGCTGAAATTATTTCACTGAAATGTTATCAGTATTCTCTTGAACTTTGGCCCCGCAAGGGTTAGGGTTTGAGTTCGGAGAACGTGAGTGGTGAGTGCAGAGTGCCCTTCCCGAAGTTTCTGCAAGCGAAAATGATTTTCCAAAAATATATTTCATTAGTTTTTGGGCTTCCTAATCAACAAAATTGTACAGAAGAGAATTTATTTTAAAGAATGTTAAACTATCTGAGCCTAAAGAAATACAATTTAATTTTGATCTCTAGGTTTTCCACTGATTTGGGGAAATATATAATTAAAAGGCTTTTGATTATTTATTAAAAATATATCTTTTTTATTAAAAGACAACTTTTCTAATTTAAATATATAAACATTGTTAATATATAATCCAATTTTAGTGACTCACGCTGCCATCCCTGAGCTTTCCGAATAGTTTCATGTTGCTGACGGAGGCGGCAACATTATCGCCAGCAACATTATTCATTATCGTTTACAGGCCACCCCGCCCCCTCTCTTTGGCCCCTGCCGCTTTTGGCCATTTCAAGTCGGTGACATTGCAACAGATACTTCTGCTCTGCCTCAAGTTTGGCTTCCTGCCACTGCCTCCTGCCTCCAGCAAAATCCAGCCTGCCACGCCCACCCGCATCTCACGTAGGGCCCAATGAAGCCAACCCGCCCACTCTTAAGTCACAACTGTGGACAAAGTTTTGCGTGCTGTAAAGGCAAAAAAAAGATACAACAAAAATAATAATAAAGGAGGAGGACTACAAAACAGTTCGCAGAAGAGAAAAGCCGAGGCACAGACGCATCTCGTTGGGCAGGAAAACTTCCGTTTCGAGTTGCGGCCTGGAAATTGGCAACTGCAATCAAGTGGAAGGATCCAATGGAATACGGTCATGGCTTCCAAACGTCGTCCAATAAATATGAAATTAATCTGGCTAAATATTAGCAGGAAATAGCACTCCTAAATGGATTATCGTTAAGTCTTCTAAGACGAAAAATAGAGCAAAAGTGAAAACACTTTTGTAAACATGTCCAGAAAATCGAATATTAAAGCGGAATCCAGTATACTAATGAAGTTAAATTAAATCCAAGAAAACAAGCAACTTTACATATACAATATATTTGTCTTCTTATGAACTTTTCACCTTTTTAAATAGTTTTTGTCATCTACACTTTTTTCTATTTTATTTCAAAACTAAGATGATGCATATTTTCCTTTCAAATCTAATTTTACTTATTTTCAAAGGGTAAAAAGTCGGCGCATCCTTGAATCTCTCTTCAGTTATTGTTGCTGTTGACCATGCAGCTGCAACATTTCAAATTTCGCATCCTGCGTGCGGACATATCGCCCCGGTTTTCTCCTTTTTCCAGACAGATTTTCATAGCTGGCACAGTTTGAGCCTTGAATATTTTGCATTTATGCAAAAAGCACTACGAGAAGAGAAGATTCTAATAGAGCACAGCTTGTTGGTAAAATCACTAGATGATGAAGAAGAAGAAGAAGACGCTGGCGAAGGCGCCATCTGCCACGCCCACTGGGCAAAAAGTTGCAACTTTTGTGCTGCGTGCGGTTTTTGCTGTGACATTTTCCTAGATTTCGCTCTGCGGGACTTTGAGGACCAATTTTTGGGGAAGTGAGGTGATGCAAGGAGTTGGACTGGAAATACTTATGAATTCATTTCTGCGAAATTATTTTGCACACAGTTCGCTAAGCACATGAATATTTTTGCCTTCAGCTGAAAGCGAGAGTTAAAAGCCGCTGCCAGGTTATTAATTACCATTTCGATAGTTGGTATGTGGTTATCGTATCGAATGCATCTGGGTTTTGCATCCACATCCGGGTTTCTCCAGAGAAATGTGGTGGCGGAAAAACCAGAATAAGAGATTCCCGCGGAGCTATCACCAAGTCATGAATGGCTAAAACACGTAATGTAACCAGAAAACTAATCAAACCTGAAAGTATGGCCTTCTATTTTTATTTGAGGAAGTAATAAAAAAATATAATGCTTATAAGCCCAACAAATAATTATAAATATTAAACAAATTACCAAAAAAAAAAAACACCTTTATGCTTTGTTTTTTATGAAATGAAGTAACGAATTTTAATACCATACAAAAGATGAATACTCTCAAGCAAATCGAATCTCTTTTTTATACAGCTCTTGTAATATTTCGTCGTGTGTGTTTCTTTATTTAACCTCCTTATCAACCGCTTGTATTGCATTTATTTTTAAATGAATCGCCAAGAGAATCGGTCAACCTGCGAGGCGGTCGCTCGCACTTTCCCAGCCTAACGACCTGATAACTGCTGAAATCGCAACGAAAACAAGTTGATTTTTTCGACGACAAATGCTGCGCGGAACAAATGCGGCACACGAAGGCGGGTAATTACGAGTATTTTATTTGTATATTTATTGAGCGACTGGAAGAGCGACTGGAAGGCGGCAACGGGTTTTCCCGCGCCGCTCCAATCAATGAGAATCGATCGGGTAATCAATGCAGCCGCCGGGATGGAAAAGCCAAGCTCCGAGATTCTAAACTTACGAGGGTCGCGGTGCGAGGCCGCCGATCGCCAGTTGATCAGTTGATTGCCAGCCACCGGGGACGCAGCTTCGCCAGCGACTCGAGAATCAATCGGAGCGGGAAATATCAAAACAATAAAATAGAAAAATTGAAAAATGCTGCAGCTTCTATTTGTGGCCCTTCTCTTTGCCCTTTTGGGGGCTCAGGCCCAGCAACTTGGCAGTAAGACAGCGGGTTCAAGCTCCCATTTTAATGGCTTCTAAAGCACAACTAATTTCTTTCAGAAGCCATTATGCATTTTGGCAACTGCAACTCCGTGGAATTCGGGAAGGGAACCTGCATCGAAAGGACGGACTGCGACTTCTTCGCCGTGGATAAGCTGATGGATTTGGCCAGCAGACAACAGTGCTTCTCCCGCCAGCGACCCGATCTGGTAAGTCTTTATATTATACTATGTGTTCCCAGTGCGCCCAGCAAACACGTTTCCCACCACCAACCAGTTTTACGCTCCGCGAAAATCATCTTCACCCTCCATAAGTTGTTTGTTATTATTGCCAGGTAACTGATCATTATAAGCCTCACGTTTATTTACCTAGTATCAAGAACCAAGTATTATTGGGATTCTTTTTTTGTAGCGGGAGCTCAAAATCTTGTTATTCTTAGCTGGCAAACCGTTTTGTGTTTGTGAAAAAATTTTATGGGGTTACCCCTTTAAAAAACCCCCTTTGTAAAATTTTGAAAGGTCAAAAAGACAAAAGGATGCATATGCCACTTGTAAATCGGATGGAAATTAAAAAAGCTATGCGCTTAGAAGTGCTGGGATCTGATCACTCAATTTTTTGCAAATTTTTAAAGGTCATAAAAATGACAAAACATTGACCAAAAATCGAAAATAAAGTGTTGATGAAGCTCGTTAGACATTTTAATAGGAAATTCATAGAGGTGAGCCACTTACGAATCTGATAAAAATTAGAAAACTTATGGGCTTAGAATTTTTGGGATCTGGTTATTTTTCTGCTAAACAATTTTTTGCAAATTTTTAATTTTGTTCATATGTTTTATTTAAATAATTTTATCTCATTATAAGGTTTGCTGTCCCCGTGAGACGAACATTATCCCGCCTTTCGGACCGAGGATCCTCAATGAAACTCTGGAAACCGGACCCGCGCCAACGCGCACCACCACTGCAACCACTCTGCTGAAGCCGCTGGCCCGCGCGACTCCCCGTCCACCCACCGGCATCGACCAACTGCCGCAGCATCCGTACTGCGGATCGGCCTTTTCGTTCCGAGTGGTGGGGGTCAGAACACCGGACTCTTCGAGTTCCCCTGGACGACTCTGCTGGAGTACGACTTGCAGGGCGGCGGCAAGGACTTCGCCTGCGGAGCGTCCTTCATTGCGCAGAGGTGGCTGGTGACCGCCGCCCACTGCATCCACACGCTGGGCAGAAACCTCACGGCCGCCGTTTTGGGCGAGTGGAACCAGGACACCGATCCGGACTGCGAGAATAACCTGAGTGGCGTGAGGGAGTGTGCTCCGCCGCACATCCGCGTGACCATCGATCGCATCCTGCCACATCGGCAGTACTCGGACAAGACCTATGTGAATGACATCGCCCTGCTGCGATTGTCGCGGCCGGTGAACTGGCTGCAGATGCAGTACTTGGAACCCGTGTGCCTGCCACCTCAGCGGGGCAGGAATGCCAACCGGCTGGTCGGTTCCGCCGCCGATGTGTCCGGTTGGGGGAAAACCGAGTCGAGCGGCAGCAGCAAAATCAAGCGGAAGGCCATGCTGCACATCCAGGACCAGGATCAGTGCCAGGAGGCCTTCTACAAGGACACCAAGGTAGTTCTCACCGAGGGTCAGATGTGCGCCGGCGGGGAACTCGGCGTGGATTCCTGTAGTGGCGACTCCGGCGGTCCGCTTACCGTCGAGGCAAACACCCCGAATGGCAATCGGTATGTTTACCTAGCGGGAGTGGTTTCCTTTGGACGCGATCACTGCGGCACGACTCAGTTTTCCGGGGTTTACACACGGGTCAGCAGCTACATGGACTGGATCGAGAACACCATTCGGGCGAACCGCGTTTAGGTGGCTTCCACAACTCAAAGCTTGTGTTTGTGACTCTTATTGAAATTAAAATGCTTTCTAAAATACAAATAATATTTATTATATTTTTTTAACGCAGTGATATATTTTTTGTTATTGTGTAGTGATTGCCTATTTGATATAAAATCTATGAATACCTTTTTATTAAACAGACAATGTATTTGACGTTCAAGAAAATACGACCTTTTGGCAACAGTGCGTATGAAGTGTCAGCTACCTTAGGGATTTCCCCCATCGAGGCTTTCCCTCTCTTTCTATTCTCCTTATTTCTGGGTCGTCATATCACTGACGTCACTGATTTCCGGCGTGCAATTTACCAAACATGTCTACACAACCTATCGCCCGCAATCTCGATTTCTGCCAAGATTAAACTGTTTGCTCATGACACCAAAGGCTTAAAATGATGATGATGTTGGGCTTTCGGTGCGCGAACCTCGAGAAAACTCCACTTATTTTATTTTATTTTTGTGAGTGCTCCGGGAATATAAATACAATCGAGCTGATCTTCGTTCTGCAAAGAATATTATTTTTTATCGTAAGTGATGTGCTTATTTTGCAGCAGATCTTAAATCGACAAAGTTTTTTATTAGGTTAATCAAATGATGAATGCTTTGATTACTCTAAGTGAATCATGTTTACAGGAAACAAACTAGTCATCTTTGGAATTTTCCCTTAATGACTGTCACCTAATTCTTAAATGATAAAACATATTTTGATAAATTTAGCTTCTTCAAAGGCTTTCGCTTGTGAAAAGTTCTAGCGAAGATCTCACCTTTTTCTCTAGTTCATAAAACACACATTTTAACACCATTTCCAACCTATTTTTGCACAAGTATATTTTTATCCCTGAGCAAACCTTAGGGTAATAATAGGTTTAAGCAAACACTGATTGTTGTTTTTATCTTTATCGACATCGGTTTATTACTTATCATTATTACCTACAAGAGCTACAAAATAAATAGTGTAATAAATACTTCGGCGGTCACATTGTGACGCAACTACGACTAAAATAAGTTAGCTTACAGCTAGGTTTGCAAAAAAAAAAAAACGTAGTTGAATGGGGAGATTTTATCCGGCGGATCCTCAGTTGCTGCGATCGAAGATGACGGCTCTGCGACACCGATCCCGATGATCCCGCATTTTTCCGGCGGGACAGGGTCTCGCAAGTTTTCGGGACACGAGAAGCTGACCCGTGAGGGTCCGGCTGTGCGGACTGTAGAAGATCAGGCGGCGGGCTTCCGTAATCCCCGGACTTTGGGCCAAGAGCATGGCCAGAACGACGAAGGTCAAGATCAGCAGGCGGTGGACTTGCATTTCGATGCGGACTCGTTTCGATTTGGATATTCGTAATGGATTTTGGTGGTTCGCGACACTCCGATTTCCGTGGGTTCGATTCGCTTGGGAGTCGCTTTTATGACTGCGCCCGCTCTCTAATATTGTGCCTGCCGATATTCAACGCTGATAGCCAAAGACGGCGACCGCCGGCCCGCAAATCGATAAGATAAGCCCCAAAGGTATTCCGCTGGCATCCGATAAGATAACGCCTCCCATAGCCGCAGCCCTCGGGCAAGTGGCATACAAACAAACACGAGTACGAGTATATACGAATATGCATGGCGTATTGTCTGCGGTCCCGATTCGTGTGGGTTGGATCGCCCCCGGCACTCTGGCACCTCGACCCCATTGGCTGCTATTTTCGATCCGCGCTATGACGAAAGCGCGGGAGAATTTACGAGTGTACGAGTGGCCGGCGATACCATAGTATACCATAGTAGAATTCCACCGACGTGCGTCGGCGGCCCAGATCCCGAGAAGTCGGGATCACTTTGCTTGGCAACTGCGTCACCGGGTGGATCCCGATCACTGACCAGCCCTCTTATCGGTGACGCCCCATCCGGTGTGATCTGTCCTCCACGGTTTCCTTCAGCCCGAAGTTATGCAGTGCTTTGCCAGTAGATACGTTCCAGAACGGTGTAGAATGGCTGGTTCGAGGTCTTTCTACTGTCGAGTCTTCTCTACAGACAGCGGCGGCTAAAGAGCATAAATCACTCGGGACCAAGCGATTCGAGGCCTACGTCAAGCTGTTTTATTATCATTTGTTCTGCGATCAACATAAAAACCTTTGTTTAATTTAGTTTATAATAAAAAAAGTAGAAAACATATTTGTTTGCTGACGATCAAAGCAATGTAAATATTTAGTGATAAATTTAGTTACAATTATTTGCTCAAAAGTCAAATTGGATAAATATTAAGAAATTAAAAATCATTTATTTATCCCAACTCAAAAATTATTTAGAGTTGGATTATTTGCAGAACATTATGTAAAATCAAACATTGTTTAGTATAGTATTCTATATGTTTTACTATTCTAAAATAAATCAAACTGCTTCCTTTCAATATTGATCGGGTTAAATATATTCATTGCTCCATAATCCAATGCCTTTTGGTGAGTTTCGAAATGGGAATTTCATTCAGTAATTAACTAAAAGTCTGCTGACACGTCGATAAGGCGGCTTGATGAATCTGAATTAAGGCCGAATCACCTGCGGACTGATCACCATCCGATGGCCAGCCCCTCCCCCAACTGACGTAGCGGTACAGAGTCCGCTCACCAGTTCGACTCACCGCTCACCAGCGGCCCTTTCCGATCTGGCGATCTTGACGAGCCTCTCGGCACATTCAAGTGATCGATAGTCGGATGACGGCTCTGACGCACTTCCAAATACGTTTAAAACCCATGAATGGCCCGTGGATCGGGAGGATCGATCGGGTTTATTTTGGCAGTCGAAATAGTTAATGAAAAAACAGAGCAACTAGGATAAGACACAGTGATAACGATTGAAACGGTTCTAAATTTAGAGAAGTAAACAATCAGAGATGGTACGACTAAAACTAGTGTCTATAAAAAAGATTAAAAATAGAAAAGTGGTCCGAGGAAATAAATTAAAAGTTTTGACATTTAATTATATTTTTAGTAGGTAGGTGGTCATTCATCTTATCCATTTTTGTAATAAATTTATTACCGTTTTGTTCTTTATTTAGCGATTGAATGACTAATAATTTTAAAAAAGCGCAGCCTTAATAGCAAATACCGGACTTCAATAACAACGGTATAAATAATAGTGAAAGGAGTCATTGGAAACCACCTGTTTGCAGGTCAGCCGATTAATGCCCGATAATTGGCCACCGAAAAGTGCTTCAGGTGTTTGCGTCAAGTCGGCATTATAATTGTTAAATCAAATATTTCCGATTCCACTCGACCGGGCGATATCATAAACGGTATTATAGAAATCGCCAGCGTAATGCACATTTAAATGATAAGAACCCTCGTCGGAAGCCTTTAATAAAGCCAGCAAATCCCTTTCGATGGAGGGAATGCAGCTGAAATATGCGCAAAATGCGAGCTTTAATTAACTTCCAATTAATTCAACTGCATTCCGAAACTCATGCAGCACACAGAAAAAAAAGACATTACTTTTACAGGGGGCTTTTGTGTTTATTATTAAATAGTTTAGCGTGCGAGGCGGATAAATAGCATAAATAAATAGTTTTGGTTGAGAGAGTGCGAGATTCGTTCGATGGTGAAGTCACTTCGGATCAGTTTCAGCATTCTGCATTCAGCATTCAGCATTCAGCGTTCAGTATTTAGCTTTCAGCAGCGCACGCCATCTGCAAGAGACAGAGATATAAGGGTTGTTAGCACTGCCGTGACGCACTGGGCGTATACGTAATGAGTATACGTGATGTGTGGGGCGACCCACCTGCATTGAAGGAAATGATGCGCCGGCAATTGCCGCGATGGTCGATCATGTGGCACTTGGGGCAGGGCTTCTCCATGCCGTGAGTGGACAGGATCTGTCCGCGGTGGATGCCATTCGGCTTGAGGAAGATCACGCGACGGGATTCACTCGGCGTCGGAGCACAAAACACGATCACGGCCCAAAGGCAAAAAAGGTAGAGCAGCAGCTGGTGCATCGACTTCATTTCGCTGCTGAATGCTTTATATATACAATTATATCTCGAATAGGGAGCGCGATAAAAAAAAAGTTGAGCTAACCAAGTGGCTTGCTCCAGTGCCGGCAGTTAACTGATTTTATACGAGTTTGGGGTAGCATTTCTTAAGTGCTCTGCCCGCTTGTCTTTTCATTGAGTTGATAAACCGGAAACAGGGTGTTCCTCACCTTCTTTTGCTATACAGATTGGTAAGTTCCTTGGGCCGCCATTGAATCACCCTGTTTTCCAGAGGGGGAAATCTTATCTTGTCCCCCATGCCATTTGCAATCTGTGTAATTGAGTGCTTCACTCGCCCCAGCACTGATTTCGATTCCCGCCCGATGCGAGCGGATCGAGCGGTTGCCGAGCGAACGGGTTGGCTACCGGCGCCTGAAACACGGCCACCCGCCCCAGATAATATCATCATCGGAGAACCTATTGCATTTGCATAGAGGACGTGGCCCAATCGGGGATTCTCCAGCTGATCAAACCACTTTTTTGTTGCGTAAAGTTTGGTTGCTGCAGGATGTATTTAGGGGATTTTCCGCCACTTCTAGGAAGTTTTAATGATTTTGCTAGAACTTTAATATTACCTGCGAAACCGAATTCATAAATAATAATTAAATACAAACACTTCGCTAAAGGATAACAAGATTAATAAGCAGCAGCAAATTCTAAACAAAAATAAGTTCGAAAAATTTGTTTGGGAGAAGTAATAATTATTTTTATATCATCTAAATCATCTAAACAAAAAACTCTTTCTTCCAGTAGTCAAATCTATCATCAGACAATTAAGTAACAATCTATCTTGAAAGCAAGCCCCCTTTCAAATAGATAACCCTTATTTTTAGAGCTGAGTAAGAACGTGGGTTAATTGGCTTGTGCTCACCGCACTTTCGGTGAGTTAGCCATAATCACTAACTGTTCGATGCAGCAGATAGCACGATTCCGAGAGCGCTATGAACTTTGACAAACAAATCCACGGCGGTATTTTGGCTTCGTAACGATCGCGTTGTGAGCCATGCGAAATTCCGCCTAAAACTTTTTGGCCAATCATCGGGGCTTTCTGGAAAGGCGGGTGTCGCCGTGAAGTGGGTGGTGAGTGGGCGACGACCACGCGACAACCCATTGAGTATTTAACGGCAATCACGGAACGAGGGACGTCACGGATCCCACATATTTACTTAGATCCCGCATATCAGTCAAATTTCCCCTAAATGTGACCGAATGTAACGGGTCGGCGAAGAGGAGCCGCTTTTTATTTATATCGCGCTGATTCATGAGCGTTCCTCGATTCACCGTTATCTCCATTACGCCGCAGTTGTCGAGTCTCGTATTTTGTATTTTGTATCTTCTATCTTGTATCTTGTATCTGCGTTACCTGCAGAAACCCATTGGAGCGCAGTATTTCATCATACTTTGCGTGAACGGCGACACGTGACGTGACGTAGTTTCGATTTCATGACGAGGCGCAAGGGTTAACGTCCACTGGTGTGGATCCATCTGGGGTTTTCTATGTTTCCTGGGACCCAGAATATTTGCTTTTCTAAATACGCAATCACAGAGTGTGCAAATAGTTAGAATTATCAAATTTTATTGCGCATATGAAAGGGCGAATTCCGATTGTCATTATTCACGTTTTATTCATCCTTAGAAACAAATTGAAGTTAAATAAATTTATTTAGTGTTTGAAAAAAAAATTATAAAGTATTCCGAACCCGAGATTCTGTTACCAAGCAAAGCCAATCATTATTTGCCTTACTTTTCGTTATCTGTCATATGATATTTAAATCAACTCCAGACAGTTGGAAATTCACTCGAATCTCTAAAGACGCACCGACTTAAAGTAAACACAAATGTAAAATTAACTTAGCCAACTGGACGATGCCATTTTTAGACAATCTGTTGGGGTAAACAAATTATAATTAGCAAGGTAAATAAAGTTTGGACCCGGGGTTCTGGAGTACACTCACCCTTCTACAACGCCCGTGGTGATCGCGTGTGAATCCCCGATGGCATCGGTTTCCCCGCACATCGAAGAGCATTCCCTTGCCGAGGGCATCCGTGTTGTTCTTGGCCGCCTCCCTGGATTGAGTGGTGTTTAATTGGTTGAAGTATATCACCTTTCCGGTGGCGCTGCACGAGGAGCCGAGCAGCAGAACCAGGAGCACCAAAAATCCCACGAACAGCGCTGGAGATCGCATCTCGATCCAAAAGTCTCAAACGCACTGAGCTGTTTTTTCCGATTTGCCTCTGGCCCGGCGATCCAGCTTATCACTGACTGATTAGCTTGTTTACTCAGAGCCACGAGCGTCTGGACACTCCAGAATCTCAGCCAACTTATCTTGATTTGTTTTGGCTATGCGAGGAAAAACATGCATACTTTCAGGCTGCTTTGGTTAAATTAGTAGATCAATAATATAAAAGAGCACTTACCTTACCTAAAACAAAAATGTATATTTAAATGTTCAACATAGCCTAATATTTATTTAATGAATATTATTAAAATTATTTCGATTTTACCTTGCATTTAAGGTTGTCCCGTTTAGGAGCAATGGCAACAAGAAAGGACTTTGAATTAGTAAATTTTGGTCATTATTCAGCAAACCCACTTTTTGAAAATTGGTAGTATTATACAATTTCAAAAAAATCTGCCGAAAAATAAATAATTAACTAGTGATACAGTTCATTAGAGAAATAAACAACATAATACAATTTAAAACATTGGCTAAAAAATAAAGGATAAACTAATGATTAAGTTACCAAGTTTTCTTGTTTTGTTACCTTTAAGGTCATGGCTGTGGCGAAGAACAGACAGAAGGCCTGCTGCGAACTGGTCTCCCGACTCGTCCAGGAAATCCACATGGCATCAGCTTATGCAGCGAACGGGGACTCAGCGTTGGATCCCAAATTTATTAATAGTTTAATGACTAGACCCGCATCTAAGATATGGATTGTCTTAGAATGTAAAGTATTAGCCTAAGGAATATTTATATGTATTTTATGTATTATATACATATTTACAATAAACTAGAACTACCGAATTTTATACTTTTTTATACTAGGGCTTATAGGAAATTTGGATCTTAAATTTCCATAAAAAAATGTGTTGCATACTTTTGGGATTAATTAAGAAATGTGGAAAATGGCCAGTGCCTACCAACTATTGCATTCTGTGCGCCTGGTGCTTCAAAATGAGTTTGGCCCAAAAATTGGGCGCTTGGCTGACCGATCTTGACGAGTGCAATTGGAACTCTTAGATTTCAAATACCAGGCCAACAGTATGCAGTAGATGAGTGTTTTAATTTTCGATATTAATATTAAAAAAAAAAAGTGTAGCATACTTTTGGGATTGATTAATAAATCTGAAAAATGGTCAGTGGCTACCAACTATTGCATTCTGTTCGCCTGGTACTCCAAAGTGAGTTGTGCTCAAAAATTGTGGTCTTGGCTGACCGATTTTTACGAAATCGATTGCGAACTTCTGACTGAAATTATATCACCCTCTGCAAGGGAATAAAAATAAATAGTTGATGAGTGAAAAGGTTGACATACCTTTTTGACATACGTTTTCTGATGGCTTTCAATTTAGCGTATTTTAATGGGACAAATGTCCAACGATGACAATGTAGAAGCTTGTTCGTAATGGGTTTAATGAAAATACAATTTTGCTCACTAAACATATTTAACAATTTCCTTCCCTATTTGAATAGATATTACTAATAGTCATTCAGTTTTATACATTTGTTTTATTTTCATTGGCTTTATCGTCTTACATCACAAGGAGGAACTCTAGTTTTGTCTGTTCTCGTGCTGCCCTTTTTCCCTGACTTTTTGTGCATTCTTGAAGACCAGTTCGCTTCGTCTTGGGTGGCTTTCTTGGGGTCTCGTAGACTCTCTTCTATCGTGCTGTGGCGCCCGGCGCTGCTCGATAAACACAATTATCGGGATCCACGGTGATGAGCTCTGTAAAAAAAAGATATGTATTTTAGATCATAAGTAATATTTGGATAATAAAACATGGACTACAATTTATGTAAATCATTTGAGAAAACCTCTTTTTGGTGTTAAAGTTAAAAAGTAAGTTAATAGAGCGACTTTAATATAATTAAGTAATTTGTTCTATTAAATGAATAATTTAACCCATTGTCTTTCTACCCACCCTGCGCCGCATCCTTGCCGCAGCTGCGCTGGCTGGTGTTCCTGGGTCTGCCCCTGGATCTCCGCTGCTCCTGCTCCCGCTGCCGCTCCCCCTCGTCCTCCGAAGTGGAGAGTGTCCTGGCCGGCGGCCTCCTGCGTGCCGTGGCCTGCACGACACCCAATGGCGGCTCCGATGGCGGCTCCTGCAGGATGTTCTCGCTGGAGGAGTGCTTCGGCGGCCGGCGGCGACGGTGGCGCATCCTCTGGGAGCTGAAGCTCTCGTCGCGAATGACCAGGGTGCCCGCCTTGCTGGTCCGCAGGTAGTAGCGCGGCGCCTTCGCCACCTCCTCCTCCTGGGCGAATTCCGGGGAGGAGTGCCTGCCCTTCGACAGGCTGAATCTCTCGAGGATCGAGCTCTGCGAGCGGCGGTAGCGTCGCTTCTCCCGCGGACCCGAGCTCGACGAGTTCAACGTGGAGGTGGAGGGGGGCGTGGGGTACACTGGCAGCTCCTCCGCTTCCGCTTCCACCTCCGCTCCCGCCTCCTGGAAGCGAACGCCTCGCAGCGAACTGGAGCGGCGCGAACTCACCGATGGCTCCCAGTTGGGCAGTTCGTGGGTGCTGAAGTCGATGCAGCTGCCGTGCGTTTTCCGCCGCCCACTTTCCCGACTCGAACTGGGCGTGGCCACCGACGTGACCGTCGGCGTGGGCGTGGGCGTGGCCTCCGCTATTCGCAGGCCATGGAAATTGCGCTCCAGACTCAAGTTCGAGGTGGCCGAACGCTTGCGTCGCCTCTGGTTGTCCCTGGACGAGTAGGTGACCTCCTGCTGGCCATCGGCGTCCACCAGAAGATTGCCCGTGTGATCGTAGAGAAGAATCCGGGGCAGAGCTATGTTGCTGCAGCTGCGCGAGGTGCTCAGCTCCCAGTTCCAATGGGATGGCTTCTTCAGCTTCAGGCTAAGTAAATTGGCCAAAGGATCCTGCTCCTCCTCCTCCTCCTCCTCCTCCCGATAAGCTTCGTCCTCTTCCTCAGCTTCCTGGGACATCGTAAACCATCAGTTTACAACCCCTTAATTTCCTTCTAAAGGTTGTCTGTTTTTCAGGGGTTCCCTGGATTACTTTCTTTTTGGCTTTGTATCTTTTTATCTTTTTGGGTCGCCGTTTCCTTCCACCTGTTGGTTGTCCGTTCTCTTGTTTGATCTGCCTTTATCTACTGCTGCTTCTTCTTCATTCACGGCTGATCTTCTGCTTCTTCTTTATGTTTTTTTTTGTAGCTGCTTTGGCCTTTGGCCAATTTATTGTTTATCTCAACTATGTCTCTACAGGTTTGACTTGATATAAATAATGTTGGCCTTTAATGTCACTTTATGTTATCGTTAACTATTTTACGGCATTTTAGTTTTACTCGCTGTTATGTTTACATTACAGATTTTGTTTACTGTATTTTATGGTATTTTTATATTGGGAAAACTTTAAGGAGAGTATGGAAAATGAATGGAATTTGATCAATGATTTTATAATTAATATATATAGCTTTCCTTTGCTTTGTTTTTGTTATAAATCTTGTGTTAATTCCTCTTTGTCTGGCCGACCTTTCTTTGTTCTCAGTTCACTGTAGCGCGGCTTCACTGTCCTTCGCATTTGATGCTGCCCACGCTTCAATTATTTTTGGCTTCTTTTTTTCAGAATTCTCTCTCTTTTATGTTCTGCTATTTTTAGTTGATCTGCTCCCAAAGGCGTTCCCGTACGCTTTCCCAATTTTCCGATCTCCCGACTTTTCCCGCTCATCCCGCTGGCGGTGCTGGTGACATTCGAGTGGGACTCAGCACACTGTGCCACTTTTTTAAGGGCCTTCCCAGAAGTCGAGGGAAAAAAGTAGCACAAGGAAAGGCACCTCACACAGAAAGTTCAGTTTTATGGACTGGCAAACAAAAACAGAGAGGGGAAAAACACAGCGATATTTCCCGCAGACAGATATGTATTTTTTGGCGCTGTCCCGCTCGCACCCAGTGGCTCCCCGGCGCTCGCCGTCTCGCTCCGACTCGCGTCTGCCCTCTCGCTCTTTTCCGTGCCGACGATCAGCTGCGATCGCGTTGAGTTCCGCCCGCCAACGTGCCTCGTAGCCAACTGTTCGTCTTGGCCGCATCTCGCGGGCCCAAAAAGCCACCCCTTTCCCCTTTCCCCTTCCCCCTGCCCCGCCCCCTTTCCACCCATTCCGCCCCCCTCCGCGAAAATCCATCCCCGCCCCAGGGAAGCCCCACTGGCGATTTGCATATTTCACGCTCTCACAACGAACACTTTTTCGCTGCAGATCAGTATAAGATAACCAAATCGAAATACTCTTTAAGATTATTTTTCAGTTATTAAAATTACAATTTAAATAGAAAAACTTTTTTGGGAACTTAAAATAGCTGTCAAAAAAATAAAAACGGTTTGATTAATCTTTATTTTTAATTTATTAAACCAAATTAAATAAGGCAATAAAGATAAAAGTTTCCAAAAAGTTAAAAAACTTTTCAAGTGACAAGTGTTCACTCGCAATCCTCTTAATCCTCTAAATCTGTTCATTAATTAATATTGCGGGGAATGTTTTCAAAAGTCCCCTTGGCAAAGCCCGACTGACCACAGATCAAAGTGATAATGCCTTCTTTGCGAAGCGTACGAATATTTTCAGTGTGTTTCTTCACAACATTTTTGTTTATCTATCGCTAGCCACACCCCTTGCCGCCCACTTTTCGAACCGAGGGAAGCACACAGTTTTCTGTTATGTTATTGGGAAATGACTGAAACATATGTGGCCGCCGTCGCTCGGCTAATTTGCACCACCCCCCATAACCGCCGCTTCACCCACCGAAAAGCATTTTGCCATTGAAAAATGACAAACAAACAGTGGCAGAAAATAAAAAGTGGAAGAGGGAAACGCAAAGAAAGCAAAGCGAACTGGGGAAATATGTATGGGGATGATGACTTTTCGCATATTTTTCATCAGTCCGACAAGCATATCGATAAACGAGGTCCTGACACTTGCAAATGAGTCAGCTGGTCGGGAATTTGTTGGCCCGAATCACCGATCAAGAGCATATCGATTACATGAGGGATATATTAAGCCAACCTATTCCTTGCTATTTATTTGCTTTAGACAAGATTAGAATTTAGATTACATTTTTAATTTCTCAACATGTATATTCCTTTGATTTGGGTTTCTTTATTAATAAAATGGAATAATCTATTTAAAATTCAAACAACGAAAATTACTTTAAATAAAGTGTTTTCAGAGAATTGGATCTTTTTTTGTATGATTGTGTACTCACTGTCAATTTATGATTATGATTTAAGACACTGATACTTACTTAAACTGTATAATATATGCATTATTAACATTAACCCAATTCTGTCTATGCGGAAGAGACACAAAAAATGTACATATATTTATTTAGAAAGTTTGTGTAGATATTTCAGAGGTTCCAATATTTGTTTATTTATTAAATCATTCTACGCCTCGATGATGCCGACATGCCCAATGAGAAAAGCAGCACGATGCCCTGCCAATTCTCGCCATCTGCTGCGCTCCCCGCCTTCCCCTTTTCCACTCGCCAAGAAGGGGGCGGGTGGAAAAGGGGGCGGGGCGTTTAGCCAAACTCATGGCAATTATGTTTGCGGCTAATTTGTTGCGCGTTCGTGGAGGAAATCTAATTTATGCGGACATTGATGCATCGTCGCGAGGCGTGAGCCGCAATTAGCTCGCGCAGTCCGAAAGTATGCTGCATTGGGCGGGGCCCACTTCCGATTCTTCCCCCCTCTCCACCCACTCGCTCTACAGAAAGTCCAAGGTCAGAGGGTTATCGAATGTGATAAGCTTCCGCAAAACTTGGCTCCGCACGCGAAGCTTGCGAGAGAAGCGGCTCCCAAGTAGTTGAGCTGCAGACAACGCGATGAACAGATCCCTGTTTCTAATTCTTTTTGTGGGCATCTCCTGCCTGGAGATTCTCCAGGCGCGCTCTCTTCCGCAGGGAGAGCGGCATAGATTCGTGCGCAGAAGGATCTCCCCCGACGATCCAAATCTGGAGATCATCGAGGTCAAGGAGGTGTTCTATGTGCGGAGGCCCAAGAAGGTGGTGGTCCCATTGGACGAGGACGAAATCGATTGGCGGATCCGCTGCGACTTCGAACCAAATCTCGCGGAGTGTAAGTGTACAAACAAATTATTAAGAACATCTAAATATAGTTCACTACGTTCCGTTTCATTCATCAGATAATATTTTTTGCTGGGTCATTAAATAAAATAAATTTACTATTTACTATTTCTTAGGTAAGGAATTGGTAAAGAAACCTGTGACTCCAAGTTTGCCTACCAGGCCACCATCCACCACCACCACCACTACAACCACTCCGGCGCCCACAACCACCAGAAGCACCACTCGTAGAACAACCACCACCACTGAGCCTATGGACCTCTGCGATTTTGATCCCACTGCGGAGGAATGTGAGTTCGGTTTTTGTGACAATAGATCTTAATTCTAACGAATTATTCTTCGTTCAGGTGCACCGCCAACCACCAGCTCTACTAGCACCACAACCACTACAACTACCACTACAGAACGATTAGAACTTCCGGAATTATCCTCTCCTGAAACTGAACCCCAACCTGAACCAGAACCGGAACCAGAACCAGAACCTGAACCAGAACCAGAACCGGAACCAGAACCTGAACCAGAAAACGAGGAGGAAGATTACAAAGATCCTGAAACCGATTCGACGGCCGATAAGGAAGCTGAGACCGAAGGTGACACCGAACCCAAGTGGGTTGAAGAACCGAATAACGATGAGGATATCGAATTGGCAGAGGACGATGGCGAGGGCGATGATGACACCGACACTCCGACGGATCCCGATGATGGGGCTGAGTTTGAGGACTACGAGACCAACCTCGATGACAACGGAACCCACTCGATTGGCGCCCACGATTCTGGCGCCTGGAATTAGATTTAAATGGGAAGCAGTAAAGCTTATATGTTACTCTGAACGCAGGTCAATAAAATTAGTAATAACGGAAGCTCAATTGATTGTTTATTGTGATGGTTCACATTTATCACCTTAAATGAAAATAAAATGCCAAGTGACTCATAGTCAGCATTAGCTTTTTGCGCCTGCAAAAAATCTAGAGATATTCCAGGAACTTTTGCGTAGCATACTATACAATATAATTACATATAGCCTCGCCAATTGTTACATAATCTCCAGTAGCTCGTGCCATTGTGGGTCAATTCCAGATCAGCGCGTCTGATTCAAACGTAAACATCAATTGAACGCATCTAGCTTAGAACATATACTATATGTAAGCTATTTATATGCCGTATTTGTCACAGCTTCCGGCCCGACGAAAAAGTGCGTATTATTACTTCGGAGACGCGAATTCAAAAACAAAGTCGCAGCAATAGAGATCGAGGGAGGAGAAAAGGGATATATGCTGAGAGGGGTAATCCGAATCATCGGAAATCGTCGCCCTGCATCTGTATCCGTATTCATATCCATATCCATATCACTGTGTATTTGTATCTTTTGTCGCGCTGCGTTTAAATCATCGCACAATTGCGATGATTGTTGCCGTTCGCCAATTGAATTAAAGAAAATGCGAAGCAAGTGACACACAAAGGCGACGGCGATTCAAATAAAATGGGTGGAAGTCGGGGCGGCCCAGGTCAGTCTCAGTGGAGTCAGCGTTCAGTCTGGTTTTGTGGATACAGCCAAAGGAACCGATAAGCGAATACCATACATACCGAGATGAATTTCCCGCACGGAACCCTACTGCTCGTCCTCCTCGCCGCGTTCTTCCTGCAGAGTCAGGCGGGACTCTTCGATTGCGAGGACAAGATACCGGGACTCGGCGATGTGGCCGACAAGATATCCGAGATATCGGGCAGCAGCAGCAGCTCCGAGCACGAGGTGCGCGACTTCTTCAAGAACGTCGGCTGCCACATCAAGGAGGGCGCCAAGAAGCTGGGCGAGAAGGCCAAGGACTTCGGCACCGAGATCAAGGAGGGCGCCCAAAAGCTAGGCGAGAAGGCCAAGGTTCTGGGCAGCGATCTCAAGGACCGCTTCGATGACTTCCGCGTCAAGCTGGCCAAGGACTCCACCGAGGAGATGAGCAAGGATCGCGGCTTCCTCGCCAACGTCGAGATCATCAACGCGGACATCCTCAAGGGCGAGCAGCAGTGCGGCCACGGCCACATCCTGGACGCCTTGGGCAACTGCAGCAAGTTGAGGAAGTAGTTTCCGCACCTCCCTTTCTCGTAAACATTTAGGCTTATTAAGTTTTTTTTTGTATGTTAATAAAAACACATCTATGACAATCGCCATTTATTACTTTATTTGGGAAAACCATAGCAACCCAAGAACAAGAAAGGAAGCTAGTCTCGGCGAGTCGAAGCTTTTATACCCTTGCAGACATCACTAATGTCGAGCAAAATGCATAAAGGCTAAACAACACGAATGAAATGAATTTTCGCCAGTTTTCAGCAAACTTGGGAAATTTCGAAGTACCAGGCGAACATAAAGCCATAGTAGGATGCTACTCTTTCAATTTCTTACTTGTCCCAAAATGTCCCAAACTGTCCCAAGCTGTCCTAACTGTCCCAATTGCCCCTATTAAAACTCCCATCTAATGGATTATGTTGGCCTGGTATTTGAAATCTAAGAGTTCCAATTGCACTCGTCAAGATCGGTCAGCCAAGCACACAATTTTTGGGCCAAACTCATTTGGAAGCACCAGGCGCACAGAATGCAATAGTTGGTAGGCACTGGCCATTTTCCACATTTCTTAATTAATCCCAAAAGTATGCAACACATTTTTTATGGAAATTTAAGATCCAAATTTCCTATAAGCCCTAGTATAAAAAAGTATAAAATTCGGAAGTTCAACTTATTGTACATATGTATATAATACACAAAATACATATAAATATTCCTTGGGCTAATACTGTACATTCTAAGACAATCCATGTCTTAGATGCGAGTCTAGTCATTAAACTATTAATAAATTTGGGATCCAACGCTGAGTCCCCGTTCGCTGCATAAGCTGATGCCATGTGGATTTCCTGGACGAGTCGGGAGACCAGTTCGCAGCAGGCCTTCTGTCTGTTCTTCGCCACAGCCATGACCTAAAAGGTAACAAAACAAGAAAACATAAGTTATCATTAGTTAATAATTTCCATATTAAAATTAAGTACCTAAAAATCGGATACAAATTAGAAAAGTTATGGAGGTAGAAATGTCGGAAAATGGTCAATTTTCTGCAAATCTGCATGAAATGACCAAAAGTTGTTTCATCTGAACGGGGAAGGTATTTTCTTTCATGGACCACAACAAAATTGCACTTTTTTCGGGAAAAGCTTCATTAAACACCCAAAAATGCCTGAGGTTGATTCTCTATGGTGGGAGAGTTCTAAGTAAATTTTCTCATTTCTCTAGATAGGTAGGTTTTTTGACGGGGTTTCTCTTTTCGCTGGCCTGAGATGCATTTTAGTTGCCAGACGACTTTCTCACTGAGCTTCGCCTCTCAAAAAACCGAATGCCCAGCCCAAAAGCCACAACATACGTAAGAACTTGGTCAAGTAGCTGCGGCTGCAAACGGGTTTCAGTCGAGTTTTGGGCCTCAGAGGCGATACGCGATATTCGAGATCCGCGATGACTAATTCCGTGCCCGTCGCATTGGTTTTCTTAGGCAGCCTGTGCCTTTTTGTTGGCGTAGTGCAGGCAGCTTCCATCGAGTGTGGATCGGAGGCCAAGTCAGCAGAGGACTCGGTGACCACACCCAGTCCAAGTGAGGTCAACAAGTTCGTTCACAGCCTGCAATGCACTTTGGAGAAGGCCAAGCCATGGATCGCCAACATCGAGAAGGAGGCTAAGATCTTGGAGGAGAAGGCAAGGGATGTCACCAGATCGCTTTTCCAGCGCATAAATATGTTGGTCAACGTCCTTGCTCAGCCTGGCAACTCTGAGAAGGACAAGAACAAGGACAAGGACCCGGAGGAGGTCAGCAGCACCACGGAGGAAACGTCCACTTCAGATACTTCCAGTACTTCAACAAGTGCTCCTAAAGAAGAGCTCACCACTTCCTCGCCGCCGATTCACATGGAGTGGCTGGAGGATAACGCCAATGAGGTGGACTACGTCCCAGAGAAGAATCAGTAGTATACTTAGCTAAATTATAATCCTACATTTATTTATATTTATTAATAAAGATTATAGCTCTTTTTTTTTGGAGATGAGCATTTCCTATTTATAATAATTGATGGTATCATTTACTTTAAAGGAAAATGCTAACTCTTTTTTTTACGTTTGATTAATCAGACTTGTGAAATGTGACTTGTTGTCTTATACAATTTTTACTTTAGCATAACTGGAAGTCCGAAACTTGTTCGGAGAACCGGGTAAATTGGGTTAAAGTTCTTAATGAAACGTTTCCTCCTCTTTGTGACTCATACTTGGGATTCTTTCCCGACTTTCTCTTCTGGACTTTACATGACGCTGTGGTTATTGGCCAAAAATAAACAAACAGCCTGCTAACTGAAGCCCTGCAACTCCGGCATAACTTGCGAGCCGGTTTTGGTGTCAACGGATCAGTGAATCACCATTGCAAAAGAAGGCTCATCACTGGAGCAATCTAAACGAATGGCTTTCAATTGCCAATTGCCAGTCGTCGTGGAAGATGCAGCTTCAGGGCACCTGCGGACTCCTGATAATACTCATCATTGTCTTCCTATCACTGCCCATGATCCAAGCGATGGTCTGGTCGGGATTTGGCTGCTCAGCCCGGGATCATCGCGGATGCTGTTTTAACTGGATGAAACCCAAACGGCCAAAACCCCCGTGTGCTCCTCAAAACAGAAATTAGGCCTAAATAGGCCACAAAAACTGAATTACTTACAAACAGAAATCACAAAGGATAAAACATGTTTTAGAAATACAATTTTTTTTTATTGTGAAAACTTACACCATTAAAATATTTATTGTAAAATGAAAAATAAATAAAGTCAAGGTGAAAATAATATTTGATTAAGTGGTAAAATTGTGTGTATAATGTTGTTGGTAAACAAAAGTGCTCGTGACTCGTACAAATTTAGTTGATTATCCATCAATTTGGTGTAATTTTGGCATCAAACAATAAACAAATATTTAATTGAGAATAGTAAGAAAAAAACACATTGGAGTGAGTTTTTTGTTTAATATTACTATGGTAAAAAATAAAGAGATTAATCAACATGTGTGTTTTGATTACCAGGACTTGTTTTTGTGCAACTGCAAGACTGTCAATCTTGAGATAAATAATTACTGCTGATAAACAAGTTTAGAGAACAATTAAAAAAATACTTTTTACAGCTCTTAATTGGCACCAGTATTTAAAAAAAAACATAAAGGCAGTTGTCAAATATTTTTATACATTTAAAATAATAAGAAATGAGTTCTATAAAAACTTTAGTATTTGACGAAGTAAAAGTCTTTGCCCAGAAAATAATAAGAGTTTGTATTCTTATTACTTGTTCTTATTTTAATAAAATTGTTCTCTGTGTAGGAGAGCTTCTATTACAGCGAAGCTAGAGCGGTTCGCATTGTGAGCAAACGCCTAACAAACCGCGTAGACGAGCGCACGAACGCAACTAGTTTGGGGTTTATTTCAGATCAGCTTTGGGGCAAGAAGCAGGGGGCGGGGATTCGTAACCGGTTGGCGGAGGTCGGAGATCGGAGACGGGAGACGGGAGAGCCGTGATTTGGGATCGTAAACCGACGCCGTCGCCGTTGCGGAGCAGTGCGATCAGTCGTGTTGTCAAACTGAAAGCGTCAAGATGAAATCGCTGGTCGTGTGCTCCCTGATCGGATTGGTGGTCCTGATGGCCGCTGGCCAAGTTCGCGCCGACTGCGACGAGGCCAAGAAACCCGAGGACAGCGACTTCACGCACTTCTTCAAGAACCTCGGCTGCAAGGTCAACCAGGGCGCCAAGGATGTGGCCGAGGCGGCGAAGCCCTACACCGACAAGATCGGCGAGGGCGCCAAGGAGTTCGGCAGCTCGGTGGCCCACAAGTACGATGAGCTGAAGCACAAGCTCACCGACGATGCCTCCACCACGCCCAAGGTGCCGGTGACCTACGACGCCCCCACCGAGAAGGTCCTCCTGGCCCCCATCGGTGGACCCAGCTCCCCGGCCCCGTGAGGTCAGTCTGCCCCCTAAAAAACACAAATCCGAATTAAATGAGTTACACTAACCATCGGATCTCACGATTTCAGGCACTCACAACCGGCTGTAGGAGACCCCTCGTTGCATTGTTTGCACATTTCTTTGTTTTTTTTTCTTGTGATCTATATAAATAAATAAAAGCTAATTCAAGTGATGTTGGAATCGTGACCTGCGTTTTGCGACTTAATCGAGTGCTGATAAGCGGGGATTAGCCGGGGATCACAGATCGTTCGTTATCAGCTTTGAGCTAATTAACAGACGGCGAAAAACAAAATTCAATCAAATAGTTGGGGATCTTTGGCTCTTTGGGGGTTGATCAAGAGTTTACTTAATTTAAATTCAAGTATCAACAACACTAAAGAGCTCAAGTCAACGCATTAATAGATAGAAATGAATGTACAAAACGATAATGTTTTTGATTAAATGGGAAACCAGGGAAACAATAGTCGAGTCACTAAGGCAATAAACAACTTAAGACGAAAGTAAACCGCAAGTGATTTACATTTCAATCGTAATTATTCAAATTAAGACAACACTGTTAGCAATTATTTCTGAGAACTGAAATCATGCGCAGAAACACTCATTAAAGATCATAAAAGCAAACATCGTGAAGTCGTCGCTCCCTTGACCGTCAACCTCAACTCATTGCCGATCCAAATTATATAGTTGAGATGCTTCTGATCAGTCACCATGACGAGCAGTTCATTTATTTCGCTGGCCTACAATTTATAAGCCATTTTTTATAGTTTGCATCGGGGAACTTTAGAATACATTGTTTATCGTAGGATTATTACATAAATTAAAGTGATCTGGATCTAGAATGAATATACTCTTTGTGAGTGACAAAGATACACTTCCGGTTAAAGTTGTATTAGTGAAATGATAAGATAATAAATACTTTTTGGACTACAACAAATATTTATTTATGGTCTTGTCTTGCCTAAAAATCAGCTGGGAAAAAAGTTTGTCTTTAAATTTAGATAAGAAAAAAATTGTAGTTTCAAGAAAAAAAACTAGTAATATAAAAGCTCAGAGTCATTAATTTTTTTGAATGTCAACACTTGTTTTTGAGAGTTATTTATCCAGTGTATTTTCCTCATTTTTTATTACCTCTTGACATTTGTCTTTTCGTTCGCAGTTTTTGTTGATCGACTTGCCTTCGTTTAGCTAATTTATTTATTTACTTATGAGTGCGGATGCCCCAATGTCAATTTTCTAGATTGAATGCCAAGACGCTTTCAGAATGCCAAGTAGGATTTCCCGATCGATTGGTCGAATTACGGCTTGTTTTCGCCACTAATTGAACGAGAGTATTTAGTAATTACACGAGACTTACGTAAGTGAGGGCATTACTCACATTGTGTGAACTTTAGTACGTAGTTGTGGATGAGACAGTTCCATTTGAAACTTCCGCACTGGCTTTTTGGGCCAGAGTTGAACTGGTTTGTTGAGCTGTTAGACTAATTGTTCTATTGTGCAAATTACTCATAATTGCACATGCGTCGCAGTGCCAAAACCCGAAACAATAAAAGCAATCAGCATACACAGCAACTGACTCACATGTCACAATCAACAAATAAAAACTGCCAACAAAAATAAACACTTCACATAAATCAGATTATCACTTCGGGTTTTGAAAGCTGAGCTCGAATTGCAGCCGGAATTTCAGAGGATTGGTTTTCAATGGCATGGAGTGCCAGTTGTTCAAGGGAAAATTACGAGAACAGTATTTTCGGAGCACTTCACAAACAACGCGTAATAAATTATTCACTTGCAATTCGTTTTACTTGAGAACTGAATAACTAAACGTTATTTTATTTTAAATAAGAAGAGTGGCATTGAATATTTGTAAACTATTTATATTTACTTTAATAAATTGAAATGGTTTTAGAAATTGAAACCTTTTTAGAAGGTTTTCTGCCTCTGCCACTGGAAAACTTTAACTGACTTTTAAATGCCCCAATGGACTTTATACCTACACCGTGGTAATCAAATTGTATGAATAAATATTAAAGTGTAGGGGAATCTGTTTATCTGAGAGATAGTTCCCCCAGCCTCCGCAGCTGCAGCTCCTCGTCACTTTCAATAAGTTTCCGGCTGGCAAACATTCGCCTGGTATTTTTTGGCTCTTCCGTTGCTTTCCCTCGGCAGAACTTTGCAGACAAGGCAGGTTGCTCATACGCACAGTTGCACCACCCGGCTGGATGGTTTTGGGTGGTTCGGGAGGTCCGAGGGGCTTTTCGAGGGCGGCGAGAACGACAGTCATTACCGCCAAAGTTTTGTCGGCCAACGTACTTTCGAGACAGCCATCTCATGGGCATCGAATTATGACACTTTTAGTGGTTTCTGCTAACTATGCGGCGGCCAAAGGAGAAAATCGAGAGCAGGACGAGGAGAAAGCAAATCCTGCGGAGGGCAGACAGAGACCCAAAACTGTCTTTGTAGTTTAGTAAGTTTTGCCTTTTGGATTTGTTTGCAACTTTACTTCGATTTCAGCCAACAGCCAACACAAACTTGCAGTCATGTTGGCAAGTAAAAGAGCGAGAAGAATACCGGGCACTTCCTGATTTAAATTTCCATGGGTAACGTTCAAAGTTTAACTCATATCAAAAAATGTATTTTGGCAACAAGAAATGATAAAATTTGTTTCTTTGAATATTATTTACATGTATTTTAAAAAAGACCGGGGGAAAAACAACAAATTGAGTTTTATTTAAATTATCATAATCTATTCTTTAATCGTATTATTGAAGTAGTTTCAAAAGGCCCACTGAACTATATTCTATTTCTGCTTCGAATAAAAATTACAAATAATTATATTATTAATCTATACAATCTATACAATAATAATAAATATACCCATAGTAACCATCAAATATCTAGAACAGACCTTCAATCTGTATGTAGTTTTCCCAGCAGCTTTTCCGCCTTACAATGTTTTTATATTCGTCCTTCCTTTTGCTATTATCTTTCGTTTGGGTTTTTGTTTTTTCTTTTTCGTGTGCTCCTTTTTTAACTTAAAAGTTTATCAATAAAATTATGACAGAAAACTTTTTAATTTGGCACACAATAGTCGTAGACACGAATCCGTATGCGTTTGGGGACGCTTTTCCAACCGCACATCCGCATTTTATTCCAGACAGACGGGAAAATGCGAGCAAATAAATAAGAAAAAAAATGTTGGGAAATACAGTCGTCAGCCTATCACAGAGATAACAATCGGGCACTGGGAAAGGGGGCGTGGCTCAGCCTTTGAGACTCTTCAGTTTGTTTTTCTTCTCCACGGCCAAACTATTGGCGAACTGCTTGTCCGCCTCCGCTTTGTATTCCGCCAGATTGTACTTGGTTTCCTAAAACATAAAACATAGTAGGAAAATATAAATAAATTCTTTTTAACTCAGTATTATGAAATCGGGTATAATTATAACATAAAATTAACTCACATTGAGAGCGTTGTTAAACTCGGTCATGGCCAACTTCTGGAGACCTCGGAAGTTTCTGCCCAAAATGCGACCCAGTTCGTATCGGGAGATCTGGAAAGCCTCCGTTGTGGTGGTGGGCTCCTCGCTATTACTGCCACTTTCTTCGCCACTTATAGACTATTGGAAACATATAGATACACTTTATAGATTTTTATTCTGAGTTAAGTCCAGGCCAACTCACAATTTTCTCGGTCGTCACCCTCGGACGATTGGTGGGTTTCGCGGGTCCTGGATCACTGAACTGCTCGTTGACCGTGTTGTATATGTCATTTAAGGTGTTGCGAGTATCCGTGTATTGCTAAGTATAGTATTTAAAATGTGCAAAAAAATAGATAATAAAATATGTTAATAATAGGAATGTGTTCTCCACAAACTGTAATATCATCTATGACAAATAAATAAACCAAACAAATACAAGGTTGAGCCACTCACATCCACTATTAGATTCTTGGTGATGACCATCTTCTGAAAGAAGTCCCAGAAGATCCCGCGCTTGTGTCTTATGTGAGGCGCATCCTTGGAACTCGGATCCTCTCCGCGAACCAAAACCATCGTCATTAACAGAATACTGCCAATCAGCAAGGTTGACATTAACTTTCTCTGTTCCCCGAACTGCATGCTGCAAAAGAAAGAACAAAGCGCGAATATATATTTCATTATTGCAGAGCTCTTTGCGTGATTAATCCATTGCAAATTGCATCGATCAACGGCAGATTCTGTCATCGGCCAGCGGAATAACGACGGCAATAGAATTGACACGCCCCCGCGGAGGCGGTGCATAAATCATGTTCGGTGACAGCTCTCAAAAAGGAGAACAGCAACAACAGAAAGCGAAATTGAAATGGAAATTGGTATGGGGAATGTGGCAAAAGCAGAGCTCAATAAATGCCGCGAAATAAACACCGAAAAGTTCAATGAGTGAATGAATTCTTTAAATATTTGTTGGCATATCTTTTAGTCACTTGAATAAAGTACCTCGCCAACTAAAAAATACACTTAATTGACCATCTCGTTCAGTGGAAAATGGGAAAACAGCTTTTCGCTTAGTCTAATTGCATCAGAGCGCCCCTAAAAGTATGCAGCCGAAATTGTGTGACAATCAAATTTGCAATATTTAGTCAACTTTTTCGCTGCTCTGCGAGACTCCCTCGCAAAATTGTGTAAAATGCGCATTTTTTCGCTGTTTGTTTTTAATGCGCGTAATTAGGAAAATTGCCAAAGTAGCTTAATAAATTTTTACATTTTAATTGCGTTTCTACCCGCCGAACGCAATACGCAAAAATATTCAAATGCCATTTAATGTCACAATGCGGTGTGTTTTAGCGTTATTTAAGCCCCTTCGGGCCGAAAGAGTTAATAGAAAACAGCAACGGCCCGCGGGCAAGGGCCGAACACTGGCCGCCTCATTGTTTGCCCATAATTTCTAATGCAATGTGAAAATAATTTAAATTATTTCAATGCCACCCTTACTAAACACAACAAACACGAAGACTACAAAAAAAAAAAACAATGATTATATTATATTTGCTACATTTTGCAGCATTTTGTGTCCGATTATGCCACAAATGAAAATGCAATGACCTCTTTAGCCAGAAAGAGATGGCGAACGGGGGCGAAAGGGGGGAAAATTGCGGCATTGATGAAATTATAACCAGAACAAATTGCACAAAATGTATAAAAATATTATTGAAATCATTTGAATCTCTTTCAGGGCTTTGTGCGATTTTTCTCTTTCCACTTTTCCGCGTAAAGGAAATATAATCGTTAAATAATTAAATAGTAACATTTAAATGCCAAACTTGAATTTCATTTGAAAAAGATTTGGTAGTTTAGAGTATTTTGTTTTAGTAACATGCTGAACTAAGAAGTATTTGGATGGGTAGTCTTTTTTTCAGTGTGACTAATTGAGCAGCTGACGGCAGAATTGCCGCATTTGATTGGATTGTTGGCCATTTGCCGAAAACGTTGGCACTTCATTTGCACCATCACGCAGGGAAATCTGATTGATGGTCGAAGGGAGGAAGGGGGGAGGGGGGGGGTATCAATTTCCCGTCGATGGGGTTGAGGTCAAGTCCGCCGAACAGCAGAACGAAATACCCAATCAAAATCTGCAGCACTGAAATTACATAAAGACTCACGTAAACGGGTTTTTGCATATGAATCTATGAATACCCTAAAAATATTTCACAAATTCCAACTATAAATAAGATCACACCTGCTTATTTTCTTTTAAAACATTACACAATAAGTTGTAATATAATACTTTTATAGCCACCTAGTATGCAACCAAATAAAAGGGTATGCTAAGTTTACTTTCCCGGCTTTCATAGCTATCCCGGCTTTTCCCCGCTTTCCTGGCAACCAATTTTGGACACTATTTCCCCGTAACCCCCTCATCCTATGGCACATATTCTCCGGTATCGTCGAGCGCAGAAGTCAATTGCCTTTGGCTCCGTAGACAATCGTTTGATGCTTTAATGCTACTCAAGTGCTCAAACTCTTTTGCCAGGCGAATGATGATGCAACAACAACAATAACAACAACAGTAAATTGCCGAAAAAGAAAACAACAACAACAACAACAACAACAATAATAAAATAGAAATCGAGAAGCAGAGCGAAAAAAGTACTTGAAGTGAAAACTTTTGCTTTTTCGAGAGCGCTCTATGCCATTCCCCCGATCCTTTCCCTTCCCCCCTCCCCCCAAAAAAAGCAGTGCCATAAAAATGCATGGCTCACACACACACACACACCACACACACATATGCATATCTTTATACCCATAGATTGCCTGTTGTAGCGTAAGGCAATCAGCAGAAAAAGCAGAAGGATCTCGTCCTACTGCCCTTTCTGCCCCTTCTTCCCTCCCTAAAACCCCGCCTTAAAAAATGACGAAACGAAACGAAGCGGTACACATAACAGACAAACATTTCATTGAGTTGAGTTGAGACGAGTTTTTCGGGTGCACTTGAGCTCTGCCACCGTCTTTGGAGTCCCGAGCTTCCCAAGTTGCCAAGTTCCACTGCAGCCCCAAGCCGATGGGAGCCACAAAATGTTCTTTGCATATGAGCGAAGTGATTGCTTAATTGCCAAAATTCATTGCCCAGATTGATGGAGGGAGGTGCAAAAAGTGGCCAAAGGGCCGCAGAGTGGTCGAACCTGCGGGGGGAGCTGTGAAGTCCTCTTTGAACTCCTTATTGCCAATTCCATCACAGATGGACAGCAAGTTGCATAAAGTTGCTATCGAAATAGTGGCATCAAACGAAATTGGTTGAAATATATGATAACAACTATATCACTCACAGTAAAACTAAAATGAAAATCATTAAAGAAACTTGTTTGTCATATACGTTTTAAAATATTAATTTTCAGGGATTTAATCATTTTTTGAATTCGATTAAATCACCCTTATTATAAATATAAAAAACAAACACCACATTATTTACTTTTTGAAATGTATCCAAGCGTTTTTAAATCCCACAAGTTATTGTTAATCCGCTCCTGCTTTCCAGTGCACCACCTTTCTTAGATCCCACCTTCTTAGCCATTTCCCATTTGACTCTTGGCCATTTTCATTTGCTTTTGCAACTTTGTTGCTTTCTTCCGCTCAGCGGCGCCTTTTCCTTTTTCCACCTGATAGTTTCTCCTTTGGCGTGTTGTCATTATCAGCGTCCTGGCCGCACTTGTTGTTGTTGTTTCTGCAGCTCGAAGCATTTTAATTATGCCTTAATGGCGCATAATAGCTGTCCTTGTTCCTCCCCCGATCTGCTGTCTCCTTCCCGCGAACTCTTATTACGCTTGGACTAACGGCATTGGTATTTTTCGGCGCCCGCTTTCGTTTGGCAACTTTGCCCATTTTTCGACTAGATTTCGAGTTAAGTTTTTCCGCCCCACCCACTGCTTTCCACCGCCTCCCCTTCTATAGCGCTTTCCCTGCTTGTCTTCAGGTAAATTTACACTGGCCCGCAGCTGGACAAACCCTTTTTTCAATGCCCAAGATACCCTGTAAGTGAGGGCTGATGAAAATTGTGCATTTTTGCATACTATGACAAAAAACTATAGCTTTTTTAAAATGCAAAATGCGTTTTAAAATACTTTGGAGATTTTTGTTTTCTTCAGCATAAAATTCGAAGATATTTGTTGAAACTTTTCTTCTGCTAAGCTAATATCATAACTTGGTTTCAACTAGAATACCCCTTTCTTTTTTGTCCAATGCCTTTTCGCTTTTTCCACAGTTTTGATGATGGCATCGCCATGCTTTTTGCCTTTCTTCCTCATTTTGCTTACTTTTGTTACCAGTTTTTCGGCAATTCTCATTGCACTTTTGTGCACGCTTTGATTATTTTATTGCCCGTCTCCCTTTTCCTCAGACAAAGGCCCCCTTTGCCAACGCCCCTGTTCAAACTTCATTTGAAATTAAAACTTTTTCGGCTGTGCAAGGGAGATGGAGAACGAGAACGAGAATGGCAAAATCGCATTCTTGATTATGTTTTCCAACTGGCTCATCAACTGGCCAACAAAACTTTGTAATTATATCAATGAGTGCTGGCCGCAGGGAAATCGAAATGGTGGCGGTGGAGAGGGGGAGGGGAATCGGGGCATTTTGGGGGAGGGGCATTTAAATCGTACTGTTCGATGGCTAGCCAAAAATCAATCAATTTTCGTCTCAGCTCTCAAAATATTTTTGCATGGCATTTCAATTAAATTTGATTTGATTTGATGCAATGCAATGTGATTCGATTCGTTTCGATACTCAGCACTCTCTCAAATTTGGCTCTGGTGCACTGAGAGAAATGCCCAGCAATTCTTAGGCATACTTAAAAGGTTTCTATGCTAGTTGGGAAATTAAAGTAATATTTTAATTTTCTAGTACTTAAATTTTTATTATTATTTTAGTTTAATAGGAAACCATTTAAAACGAGTAACGGACTTTTTATTATTATTTTAGTTTAATAGGAAACCATTTAAAACGAGTAATATCTTTTACTAAGCTAGTTGCTGGTTGATTATAATCGGATTTAAATTGCACAAAAGCAGATTTCAATAAAAACGTTCGAATTTTGTGCTTGGGCATGTTTTTGTTTGATTTTCTCTGTGTTGCCAAAACTCTCTTTGTGTGCTTGTGTTGGTAAACACACTTGAACAAAGCAGATGAAAAGCAGAATGAAAGGAGAGGAGAAGGGGGAGAAATGACGAAGGGAGGAGGAGAAAGGGTTTCTCCGCCTGAGACAACGAAAGCAACTCAAACTGACGATGTGCCAGGCATATTGTCCATGTAACTAATGATACACATACACATGCACACACAGTCACACACACGCACACATGGAAGGATCCAGCACACAAGGACCTGCAGAACGGGACGGGAATAGAGATAGAGCGAGAGGGACTGGGCGACAATTGCTGCCTTGGATCTCGCCTCATTTTGCATTTGCATGCTAAGTACCAATTAAACGAGACTTAAGAGCGATTTAAATGTCCTCGATATGTTGCCGACGCTGGCAGCGACGCCAGCAGCGATTTACCGTTGTGTTTTGTGGCTGTGTATGTGTGTGTTAGTGTGTGGAGGGCACGCGTTTATGTGTGTGTGCATATGTGCCTGAGTAGGTGTCCCAGGAAATATTCCCCAAAGGGGCTACAGTTGCCCTCACAAGTTAAACTGCATTATCAATAAAAAAAATGTAGATATTCTAAAGGTTGGAAAAATGTTTCCCACAAAAAAACTAACTTTTTCCCACTTCCAATTCTTAAGTTGTAATATATGTTAATGAGAAAATATACAAATATAAACGAATAGTTTAAATAGTTCAAATTTGTGAAATAAGAAAGATTTTATCTTGGAAAAACCAGCTTATAGTCACTATTGTTGGAGATAAAGAACTGCACCGGGTAAATTTGAATTATTTTCCAACCATTTGCACGTTCAATAAATTCCTTTCCCCCAGCAGCTGTTGGCGTACTTTTGCCACACACTGTGTCACCATGGTGGCAGCATAAATTATGCGAATCGATGGCATCTTATCAACATTTGTCACTGCTGCACACTGGCGCCCGACTACGCACACATTGCCACATTTGTCCACCTGAAAATGCATTTTGCCCCGCCTCCGCGTTTTACCAATTTCCCCCCAATCCAAATCCCAACCAGAATGCCGAATCCAGAATCCAGAATCCTGAGTTTTCCGTGCTGCAATTTGATTTCCATTTTGGCAATTTCAGTTTCAGTTTCGGTTTCAGAGTTTCGATTTCTGTTTTGGTTTCGTTTCGTGTGCAGTGCTCTGTGTGAGCGAAATTATCGAGTTACATTTTGGCAATTTTTTGTTGATTACACATAACCCATCCTTTTTATGCACCCCCCCCCCCTTAACCCATTACAAGCCCCCCACTCTGCCCATTCAATTGATTCAACCCGTTGAGTTTTGGAGTTTGGCCCTCGCACTTGGCGTAATGTAATGAAAAATAAATAAATCCAACGTGGCCATAAACCTGAGCAGTCATAAAATATGCGTTTATTGAAATTAAAACCTGACCAAGAGTGGTGGAGAGGAAAAGGGGGGATGGGGGAAGGGGAGGGTGAGGGAGGTTAGGTGTCGAGTCGGAAGCGATCATAAAACTAAAACAGAGACACAAACTTGACCGAGGCAAAGTCTTGCATAATAAATGCTAATAAAGCTTTATGATGATGCCGTGGACAACGGGTTTGCTTTTTGGGAGTAGTGATGGGTTGTGGGTGGTTCAGGGCGACCTCAGCTGACCCAAGGACACACTCACATATGCTCCAACTCAACCCTCCCCCACTTCCACCTCCCCCCTTGACTTGGGCGCCACGTAAAAGTTAAACAACACGAAATTCCATTAAGCGAATGGATTGCCATTCATAACTGTCCTCGGGAAAATGTGTGTCTGTCTGTGGGCGAATGTATCTGTATTTGCGGGTGTGTATGCCCGTGTATGTGTGGCGTGTCAGTGTGTGCGTGTAAACAACACCAACTACCAGTGCTACAAAAGTTGCCCGAAAATGAATGGCAACCATTTATTGATATCCAGAAGGAGGGGCAAATGGTCTTGATAAAATATAAACAAAAGCGGGAAGGCAAGCTTTCAAAAAAGGTAGGGAAATTTTGCACCCATAACCCATATTTCATATAAAACCTACAGTTACTTAGAAATCAGATTGGAAAAAATTTAAATTATTACCTCCTTGTAGAAGTTTCTTTGATTATGCATTCTAATTTTGCTATGTAAACCAGTAAAATAAGTTTTGGTACTCCTTTTCTGCAAAATAATTATTTTATTAATTAGTTCGTGTGGTTAAGTAACCAAAATTTTCAATAACAAAATGAAATTGAAATTCTAATCTAATTTAAACTCTCCGCTCCTTTCGGAGGTCCCACGAAAATCGGAGTCTTGATTCCATTTAATATAATCAAAGCTAAATAGGGCTTCTGCTAAATTCCGAGAAGACCGAGCTAGCAAACCGCAGGCCACCACTAAAACAGGACCGCATCCACACAAACACACACACACACACAAGCACACACGCACATACAATACGCCCGCACACATGCATAACTAAGGAGTCCACGGAGGCAAACAAACAAACAAACAAGGATACACTCTCCCTCCCTTTTCGGAAGCCCCGTCCCCCCGAAACACCCTTTTTGCACACCCCTGGCGCATTGCTTTCATGTGTTTACTTTGGACATCGCATAAAGGTGACCAGACTCTGTGATATGTCATTTATTTTCAGCGCTGGCCGCGCCCGCCATTTGTAAACTCAACCGGAAAATTGCTTTTCTCAGCGCGTAGTGCCCCGAACCCTTTTTCCTTTTTCCGTCACTTTTCCCCCTTTAGTTTTTCCACTGCTAATGGTTCGCTAAAAAAATAAGGAAAACAACTGAAAAATACGAAATATGGCATTCAAAACTGTTGTGTTTGGTTTGGTTTTGTGTGCTTTTTATTTTCGCTGGAGGGGGTGAAAATAAAAGAGGGAACTGGGAGAAAAACTGTTTACAGTTGTAATTAAATTCACAATCGGGGGGCCTTCTATTTAATTGTTCGGCATCAACATTATTTTAAGTGGCAGAGGAGGCGGAAAGAAGTGGGACAGCGGGGCTTCCAACCAGCCATAGGGGGCGTATACGTGATCGCAGAGGCGAGCTCATAACTCATAATACGTATACGCCCCATCGTCTTGGCTCGGCTACGTGCCAACTGTCAAAAGCCGGCATCCTGCAGCGAGGCTTTCCCCGTTTTCCCAGCAAAGTCAATAAATAAAACATACATATTGATGTGGCCATGCTTTTCTTGTTGGTTTTTTTTTTTGTTTTGGGCAACAGCACTTTAAGTTTTCCTCCGCAAAAATATACCAACTTTGGCGCATAATTTTTAATCCGCCCCCTCTGAGATCTAGAAGTTATCTTAATTTTGCGATGCAGCTGCATAAACACATTCGTGGTCTGCCGATTTGGTATCTTTGTGGCATATCTCTGCTGCAACTGTCGGATTCCCACACACTAAAAGGGCGATAAACGAGGCCAAAGAAATGCCAAAAGGGGCAAATGAATACTGAAATTAGTTGGGATTCCAAGTCAAGTTATGCACTCAATAAAGACGGGTTACATCTCGCTTTATTGGTTTGATTAACTGTGCGTATCAGAAGACTAGAACAAAGTGAACAATCTTATTTAGTTCTCTGTTTGATTTGCGTTTTGATTTGCTCGATTTCTTTACATATAAAAACAACTCAAGGCTCTTACAGCGCACCAATATTATAAATACAAGTATTTATTTATAGCCAACTAGCTGCTGCCAGATGTTCAACATATGTTAATTGTTTTAATTTGCCTATATAAATATTTTTTTCCTTGGCTAATCAATTTGTATCTGCCTCCATGACGATGACACTCATAAAATGCGCTTTAAACAAACTAAAAACAATAAAAATAAGCCCTCAAAATGGAATTGAAAAAAAAAGCAAAAAGAAAAAACACCGAAAAACAACAATGGCAAATGCTAATCATGAAACAACTATCAACCGAAGACCGACCTTGACTTTCATACCAAAAAAAAAAAAAAAAACCAAGCGACAAACCCCAAGGTCATTCGAAGCTCTTGCCAAACTCCGTTGGTTTTCTCCGATCACTGTGGTCGGATTCTTTCGGCCAATTGCCGCATGTCGCTTTTGGCCGCAAATGGAAACCGGTAAGAAAAGAAGCCAGCATTGCGCCGACATTGACAGGTGGTAATTGATGGGCGAGGGCCAAGTTGCTTCTACGCTTTTTTGGCCTTTTGATTAACATTCAATTGGTCGCCGCGTCAATTGAAATTTTTGTCGGCCTTTTTGGGGGAGTTGCTGGCGGTTTCTCGAAAGTATGATTAATTCGCACGTGAAGGTGACGGAATTTCGGAGGTAAATTGTTTACACAATTGTTGATTCATATACCCAACCATGATTTAATTTCTCTCTTTATAGTTGCAGTTCACTTGAGTTGCGTTTCGTTGGGTTTCGGGAAATTTCGCGTCTCATGTGGCAGGCAAAATTTCCGCAATCTGCGTAACTGGAAAAGCCCAATCTTTTTTTTTGCTCTCCGCTTTTCCAGCGGCAATGTGGAGCCTATCAATTTGCACAAATTGCACATATTTGCCACGATATGTTAATCTCCCTCACAAGTTGCATAATCCACTGCAGTTTGCCGATGCAGCTGGCAAATAACCGAAAGATGAGGCAATTGGGTCACTATTGTTTACACGCCGCTGCGCATGCGTCTTTGCCTTCAACTGCCTTCAAAACAAGAAAACCCAGCAACGTTCATTTAAAATTCACCGAAAATTTAGCCCCAACAAAATTTTTTATTTATTCGCTTTTGTGTGGAATTTTGTTGTGTTGATCTTTTGGCTTTTGAACATTTCAAGGCCGTTGAAGATTTCGTGGGATTTGTTGACTTTATCTTGTTATCTGGGCAATGTGCGATGTTCACCTGTCGAACTCCGTGAAACCATAAACTGGAGCAAGGGAAACAGGCTTAAAGTGGTTAATAGTGGCAAAATGAATGCCTTGCATTTATTGAAAAAAACGTTAAACGATGCAAGTTTTTGTAGCTATTTAATATAACTTTTTTCAAAACTTTTGTGATTAAAATCAAACCCAATTATTATTAATGTGAAGTCGTTTTCTTTTCGCTAGGTTTCCAAGTTAAAGCAATTTTAAATTGATCACTGACAACACTCACTGAAAATAAAAAACAATTTAGAAACACGTTCTTTTGCAATCGAGATATTTTCGAGGTTTTTAGAGCAAACATAGCCACTACTTTGTTTTCCAATTAACCAATTTCCATTACACCGTTTTTCGCATACTTTTTCAACACACACTCGTTAAAATCCTTGCCCAACACACGCGTTAAAAGGCAGAGGTCAGCCGTGGGTTAATGCTTTTCGCCGCTTGCCAAACTCACGCAGCCAAAAAATATTTCCAAAAAATATTTGTAACTTGGAATGCAGTACAGCGAAAAGTAAATAACAAAAAAATACAGAAAAAAAATGGGAAAAACAAACAATAAAACTCACTTTCACGTGGCCCGCTAATCAATCGGCCAATCAATCGAACACTTCAAAAAAGATTTATAACACTCGGTTGCAGGGCAATTGAAATCGAAACCGAAAATAAATTCGTATTGAAAACAAAAAAAAATCTAAGCTGAAACAGAAACCGAAACCGAAACTGAAATCTATTTCGGCCGGCAACTTGTTAACTTGGTTACTTGGTTTTGGCGCACGCGAAAGAGAACTAAACGCGAGCAGCGGCCAAATTGTTTAAACTTTATGCAGCTTCAAAAACACTACAGAAAAACATAAAACCGACGTCGACGGCGGCAGAGGCCATTTCAAAGAGCCAAACGAGGCGGTACAGAGCCCGAAACCTGAATTGGATTCAGGCGCCGGCACAGTGTACATAGTGGACGTGTATGGCAAACTAAAGTAGCTTAACAGAAAGCACTGCATATTTTTCTAGGATTTAATATTTACTTAAGCACTAAAAGATAAGAGATAATTTTGAATGGTAAACCGAATGGTTAATTAATTATATAAAATTGTTATAAATTACTTGAAATATTTAAGTGCTTAATAGGTGACTTACAAAAGTAATTCTTTAACAAACTTTAAAAAGTTTTGAAGTCCTATTTGATCACATTTTTTGCCACAGCAACCACTGTTTCAAGTCAGGCTTGAGAAGTGCAGTCAGACGTACGTCGAAGTCGCCGGCGACGCCAACGTCGACAGAGGCTGAGGCAGAGGCAGAGGCAGCGGGGCTGTAAAGTAAACGCTGTAAACGGCACAAGCTGCAAATGCTGCGGAGCACAACAACAATGTGGCAAAGACAACAGAGAGGCACGTTAAGAGCTCAGCTGACTTGGCTAAATGCTGCTGGTCTGCTGGCATTGCATAACAGCTGGGTAATGGACACTCGCACCATGGGCCTTGGCCACAGATCACATAAATCAGAGATCGGTCTCTTTAATACATGTTTTTTTCTCGATTTAGAACTGGTATTTTTGGGGCCTAAAAACCCAATTTAAAGACCCATTAAAGCAAAGAACTAAGCCTAAACACCAAACAATTAAAAACTGGAAAATATGAATCACCTAACGAATACTAAACAAAACACTTACAAATCGTTCCGCAATTTATAAAGAAAGAAGCCAGCCAACCAGCAATTTTTTCAAATTGTAAGCGACAGCAATCATTTTTGTCGCTTTTGTTGCTTCTGTTGTTTATGCAATAATCGCACTAATTGAAACGTTTTGTCAGGAGCCACGGCAATAGTGACAATAGCGATAACACCATCAAACACAGAGACAAAGACCCCCTCTTTTAATTGCCTTCATTTTTATGATAGTGCAAAAAAAAAACAACAACAAAAAATAAAGGAAATGCTTAAAAAGCGACACATTTTTTGCGCTTTACTTTTGGATAAAACTAAACATTTTTTTGATATGTTTATCACAATAGCAGCAGCAGCCAAAACGAGACCAAAAAGCAAACAGCTAAAATTAAATAAAATAAAAACATTTTCACTCCGGATGCGTTCGCAATGTAAGTTTGGGCACCGACATTTAAAAACCGGAACAGAAATGGTAAAAATTCAACGAAATTCATTTTAACAAAGCTGGCCGAAAAGGTGAACTAAAGGGTCTTGACCATGAGATACCTTTTGTGGTTTTATAAATTGGAAAAGGGTATACAAGTTCAATTAATTTCAAGAAGGTACAACATCAAGGCGTTTTAAAAACTTGTCTTACTATTTTTCCGATTTTACTGATAAATTGTGGGTAAATTCCCTTACTAAGTAGTTTTTCTTGTTCACCTACAAATGTTGTATCATTTATTAAACAGAGTGCACGCAAAGTAAAGTTGGATGATTGTAAACGAGAGGCAAATTGCACAAAATGGTCTCAATTAAGCACTCCTGCCTGTGTGTGTAAACAAATAAATTTTTATTTAATTAAAATGCTAAAAATAAAAGATACAGTTCCCACACCCAGCGACACATTTGCAGATAAACTTTTATGGCATTAAATGCAAAAATGCCGACAGATGCAGATGCAACGAGCTAACGTAGTGCCGCCCCCAAACGATTCCCCTTGCCACCGCCCACTTGCCACGCCCATTTGGGTTACAGGGCTTAGCAGATATTTACAGGAACCATGGACGGTTTGGGAACTTTAACTGGCAAATATATAGACAGCAAAGGTAAAATAAATTCGATCTGTTAAACAACTTTAAATGAACAAAAATCAAATTTAGATAAACAAAACTTGTTTACAACGCTTTTGTAAATGTACTTTCTGTTACACCTTTCATGAAATTCCCCCTGTAATTTAAATCATATCTCTAAATTGTAAGTGTTTTTTACCCAAATTGTAGTTAAATATTTATGGAACTTAAATTTACCAAATAGAGAGTATCCTTCACCCTTTTTGGCCAATCACCGCCCATAGTTTTGGATTTGTTCAGATCCCTGTGGGCTTGCATTGTGCAATTGTATTTGTGCATTTGTTTTGGGCATAAATGAAATATGCATATCGTAATATGCAGTTGGTAAAATGTCGGTTTTCGGTATTTGTTAAAGTATTTTGTCGGGTCTTTCATATTATTGTTTTTGCTTCCGATTTACCTGTCCCCCCTGTTCCTTATATACCTGCATATTTAAAATATATTAATTTTCTAGCAACAGCAAAAAGTGTGTGCCAAATTTTAAATATAAAAGCAAAACAGTTGGATTGCAATTTTTTTTGCACTATTTTCTTTAGATTTCAATTTGATTGTCGAACAAAAATTTCTCCTTCTTTATTCATTACTTATTTGTCGCTTCTATCCATTTGCCAAATTTTTACTAAATACATTTTAGCAAGTGCTGGAAAACTCTTCTTCGAGTTGGCAGTAAAATTTCATATTTGGCAAATCGCTTTTAATTAGGTTAGTTATGATTACCGATTACAGGTGGCACAAATTTGTTTACTCTAAATAAATGTTGACATTATCCATAAGCCATCAATTAGCTTGAGGAAACTGCGTTGAGTTCTGTTCTGTTTACTTTATTTATTTTTAAGTCAGACAAAGTATGTTTGATAAATTAATTTAATAGGACATTTTGTTTATCAACATTACTATAAATTAATACAAATACACAAAGATATTTTCCAAATATTACCTAAAATATTAATTACATTGAAATGAAAGTTTGCTAAAAAAAATTTTTCTAACACTTTTGTTTCAGTTATTTTTATTAATACATTTTAAATTTTTAGATTGTTTGCTGCAACTTGGGCCGTTTTTCCTTTCCAAGACTTCCAGTTTTCACCTGTTGCTTCCCTACTTCTCTCTCGTTTTCCCATAAGAAATACTCACCAAACCCAACTCCACCACTTTCCACAGGACATCCGAAGAGGGTCCTTCACTGTTCGGCTTCAGTTGCTTTGGGCCTTTCAAACCGGCAACATTCGCTTGCGAAAAAATTATATTCCATTGAATCTAGCTTTTCCGAGGCATTTGCGAAATGGGAAGAACTATTGGGAATGGGATCCCCTATTGAGCTGACTTCGGCCCCACTACATAACAATGAAAATATAATTTAAGTGCCTAGTAAAAATCCATGGCCATGGATAAAACTGTTCGTTACGCTCCGCTTTCCCTTGCTCGCTTTTCCTTTTTTTTTTTTTACCAGTTTTCCTTTGCGTGCTGCCGAAAAAGAGGACATCAAAAACGGGCAGGAAAATGTAACCAAAAAATATTATTATAAAAATGCCCGCAAAACCGAAGCACTACGCGGGGAAAACTATGAAAATTTAGCTGAGAATGATATAGGAGAAAGTCAAATTTAATTTCACGCTTCGCTGGCTCCCACTAACCCCCTCAAAAATATTAATAAAAATAAAATTCTAATAAACTGTGTTAGGGAAATTTTTGGTGGTAAAAGAGAGGAAGCAAACAGTGATTTTTCTAGGTTTTTATGGAGCAGACGAATTTTTATACAACACTTTTATAGTTTTCCCAAAAATTGGGTTTCTGCTGAAGTTTGGAAAACATTTAAGTTATTTAAGTTTGCTTATCCTAACATTTTTTGATTATTTCTAGACTATATATTTCTATAATTTTTTCTTTAATGCATTCTAGTTTTTTAGCTTTTCCCTAAATAAAAACAAATGTTGCAGAATAGGTTTTGCCCTTGAATTTTCGGAAATTCGCTGACGGAAGCCAGCGAAAGTTTCAGATAAAAGTGAAACTAATTTTTATTTATGCGCGGCAGAAGTCGGAGGATAAGGGAGGATTAGTATTGTGAGGGGTGGAGAAAGGGGGCTGTGACGGGTGGCAGGCCTCACACAAAATTGCCCAGCATTATGCCAAAGCAAATTGCAAACACAAAAAGGAAAACTAAAGGAGATGGCTGAGACACACACATGTAGCCGGAGCTTGGCCATAAACAATGAAATTTGTTGCTCACTTTTATGAGTTCCTTCCCTCAAACACCAAAAGAAAGTGGGGAGAAAGGGGTGGCCATAGGGGGAGGGAAAAGGGGATGCTGGTGATGGGGCAGCATCAACATACTCGCCTGTTGGCTGTTGAGTCCTTTTAGCCAATTTTAGTGTCTTACAATTTTCCGCATTGTCTCCGTTTTTGTGCTTATCCATTTCCTTTCCCCCTTTCCCGTTCCCGCCTTCCATTTCCCATTCTGCTCCCCAAACTCCTCACCCCGCAACTACACCCCTTTCCCATCCACATTCACTTGGCCACTTTCACGCCACTGTCATTGCTAAGCTTAAGTTGTAGCAGCATTTTTGCCTGGCTCTGCATGTCGCTTGTTGGCCTTGTTGCTGTTTGGTTAAAAGCATCCTTAGCGCCAGTCAGAAACACCACATTCACCAGAAGGAAGGACAATGCAGGGGGGATGATCACTCGTATTGGAGATGGCTGCGTGATGGATGAGTGAGTTTCGAAGGATTGCAGCTACGATAGGTGCACTCAAAACTAAGCTGTTTTAAATATGTAATGGTTGAAGTTCGAGGTTCTAAGTAGTTTAATAACAACACTTGTTCTGTTCAAATGTTATAAAAAATAAAAGAACACTAAGCAGGGCTCTACAAATAAATTAAATAAATTTAATTTCAATAATGCATGTAATCTTTTAATTCCGGCTTCATCAGCTACAATCTCCTAAACTTAGAAAAGGTCACGCCTCTTTTAAGAGCCGGTAAGCCTGATCTGACCTCGCACTCTGCCACCCTGCCCTCTTCTTCCCTTGTTGCCGGAATTATTCCCAGTCGTAATCCGCTGCGTTTAGTTTATTGCTCGCCATTTGTTAAAACAAAAAGAGAGCTGGCAAAAGAGGGAAAATAGGGTTTATGATGCGCTCCGCTTAAAAGTTATTAACTAAATTGTGTGCGCTTAAAATTGAACGCCGGCGGTGGAACAGGGGACTTTTCCTTTGTCCAGCCGCTCGCGGAAATTTAATCACCTCAAGTGCAGGAGAAAGTTCTGGGAAAACGGTGAAAAAGGCTGCGTTTCCAGGGGGGACAGGTGTGCAAATGGTCAGCGAAAAGTGCAAAGGCAAAGGCAAATGATAATCCAGCAAAGGTTGCAACACAATATTTTAGTGTCACAACAAAGGAGTCTCTAATGAGAGAGGCAAAGATTTAGAAAAAAGAAAAAAACACTAGATTGTAAGATATAAACTTTTCTTAAAGCTTGGAAAAATTAAAAAAAAAAATACTTATCAGGTAGTTAAGATTACATATTTATTATTTTAGCAATACAATATATTTAAACTAATTTTTTGACCAAAATTCACATTGATAAGAGTTTTACTATTGCTCCAAATAAAAATGTTTCGATAATTCCACCTATTAGTTAATTTGAATCCCCAAATCGATCTGTTGACAGGCAGTGTCAAGTGGCATTCGTTCTCCACTTGCAACATCCTAGTATCCCACTATTGCAGCGCCTAGTTTTCGGGACAGCGGCGAACAAGACACACGATGGCCCCCTTCTGCAATTACGCGCTCTGTCATTGGGGCTCCTTTCCCGCCGCATGCCACTCGGAAAACTGGGGACCACCCTCGAGGGGTGGCCCATAACTTTTGTCAAGCATCGCGGCCATGTTGCAGCATGCCGCACAGCGAGGGTTGCACTCAGAAATGTTGCTGATGGTCAGCTGGGGAATGCACAAAGCGGAGGAGCAACGCGATGCAAGGAGCGGTTCGGGAAAACTAGGGGAAAACTGCACTGAACTTAAGTTAAATGGAAAATGAAGCATAATCTTAGGCAGAAGCAAAAACCTACTGAATACATCTATAATATATGTACCATAGCCCAGGTCCATATCCCATATGTACCACACCTACCCCATCTTCTAAACGCCTGGTTATGCTCAGATGGTCCTGAACGATTCCGGCGACAATAATAAATATCGAAAAAAAAAAAAAAAAAAAAAAAAAAAATAATATATGTATATAATATATAATATATAACATATAAACAACACTTTACTTTAAATATTTGATATAATAGTTAAGTGTTAAGAAATAAATTAAAACTATTTTGAGCAGTTTTTAAATATTCAGTAAAATATGATCCCCACTTTGTTTAAGTGCACTTTCTGCTGGCAGACTTGCTGACTTGACCAAGTTTTTTTCTGGCTTCTGCTGGCCGACTTTTTTGCAGTCCCCGTTTGTTTTGGCGGATATGCGCTCTTAGCGAAAATTGCATTTGGTCAAATGAGTGGAGCGACCAAAGAAGAAGGAGACTCAGGAAACGGGAGGTGGAAGCCCTAAGGAATCAGGGACCAACCAACTAAAAAAAAGCAAAGTCCAAGACGACTCTTAATATTTCATCTTTCATGCTCATTTGCACTTATGCGGTGACCATCAGTGGGAAAAGGGTGAGGAAAAAGAAAGGACGGGAGAACAATGGCAGGACCACACGGCGTGTAATCAAAAGAAAACGTTGCCGCTAGCCGATGTTCTTTTAACACACAAAAAAAATTTAAGTATTCAGAGTGCTCAAAAATATATAAATATATTTTATAAAAATATTTCTGGATTGAATTAAAGTTTTGGTGTTTTAAATTTAAGATCGAACACTTGTTTTCTACAGTAAAATAAAATATATATAAATTATTTGTAGAATAGTGCAGTAATGGTATTGTTAAGTATCAAAGACTAATGTGGACTAATGTAATCTCGTTGTGATAGATCTGCTAATTCCGATACCTCATGTGGTTTTTCGAGCTCTGCAATTCTCCGACTCCTGCTTCTACTCTTCCCCCCTCTGGTTTAGCTTCCCTCTTCCGGGTATTTTGCTGGTTTTTCCCATTGACGATGTCTTCAGGAATTGGGGAGTTGGCCGTTGCAGGTTGGACGTTGAACGTTGAACGTTGAACGTTTACTGTTGGATGAGGACGGCACCTGCTGCGAGTTATTTACAGCCACTGGAGGGCATTCCTTTCTCTACTCGCCTCCTCCCCTCCGCTCTTAAGTTTTTTCTATTTTTTTCTACTGGAGCAGTAGCAGCTCGTCCTTGTACAGCTATTACACATTGCCGGAAGCATTTGAATGTGTTTATGTGTAAGCGTCTATCGCTCAAGTTGCCTGCGGCCCTCTTGCCGTCTCTTTCGCTTGCCCTCTACACCTCTCTTTCTTCTCTTTAGCTCCTTTCCATAACAGCAACTAAAATGTTTCCGTTATTAAGCTAAAGAAACACTTAACTTTGCGCCAGGATCAGCAAGGACGTCAGGTGCACTGAATAGAGAGGGAAGGATACAAAAGAAAGATATGGCGCTGGAAGGAAAAAAAGCCATAGAGTTGAGGACTACGGGAATGCGAAACTTTTGAGGTGTTTGAAACGTTAATTTGCTTTAGATTTAACAGCACCTCTCCCTTACACCTCGATTGTTGTGTGTGTGTAAGTGATTTTCGCATTAACGCTTGCCACTTTGGCGGTTCAAGTCAACGGAGCACAAAAAACCAACTGTTTTACCTTTGTTTGCTTGCTAGAAATTAAGTACAATAAATACAGACATGAAAGGAAGCTAGTTTTGGCAAGCCGAAGCTTATATACCTTGCATACATAAAATAAATCGAACAAAATACATAAAGGCTAAACAACATCGAATCTATGACGATTTTTGATTAATTTTTCATATTTTTGACTAGTGTTCATATGACAGCTATATGATATAGTCGTCCGATTCTTATGAAATTTAATTTGAAATTTAAGAGTCGTTAAAAAAGTCGAATATCCAAAAATCATTGATCTTGCATTTTTTACCACTTAGCATGTTAATTTGCATAAACAGAAAAAATAATCCAATAGATCACAAAATTAAACATTTTTCTAATGTAAACAATTCTTAAACAATTGTATCTTGGTTTCAGACAGACGGGACAGACGTACAGAAGTATATCGACTCAGATCGTAATGCTGATCAAGAATATATATGGGGCCTGAGGTGTCCCCTTCACTGCGTTGCAGACTTCTGAAAAAGTGGAAAAATCGATTTCTTTGCTATAGTTCTAGAAACATGAAAGAAAATACCTTCCCCGTCAAGATAAAACAATTTTTGGCCATTTTATGCAGGCTTATCCGAAAAAAAGGTGTGGAAAAATGGAAAAATCGATTTGCATAAATTTTCTCAAGATATTTCAAACAACAAATTGAGAAGTTCACATTGATTTTGCAGCTCTGACACTTGATCAAAGGCCACACAGATTGCCCTCTCTAGTTTACTTTCTCGCCTCTCCTTAAAATCAACTTTCATAATTAAATGGCAAGTCCGAACTTCCTATTCGCTCCTTCGCCCTTTTCCCAAGGACTCCCCACTTCTCGCTGTCGCATTCACACACACGTGCATGCATAAAACAATTTAACACTTAACGTGGCCAGGAGCTGGAAATAAAAAGCGCATAACTCATGCGAAGAAGTCGACGGAGGCAGCGACGCCGGCAGCGGCGACGACGGCGCCATAAATTTCAAAAACAGCTACAAAACAGGAAGCAGCAGGCGGAGAACCAACAACAACAACTAAAGGAACAACAGGATCAACATCAACAGTGGCAAGGAGCTGTGGGGAAGAGCAAGAACAACTCGAGTGGAATGTACAACGGGATAGCTACACCAGAAAAACAATCATGTGCTACGTTTTAAAGTTAATTTAACAACTTTAAAAAGCACTTCTAAAATTAGTTCAAAGAAAAAATCACTTGAAACCTTTACTTGTACTTACTTTACTTACATACTTCTGTAGATATAAAATGAAATATATTTTCTTTACAGATTTCTATTTTGAGTGTATATATGGATGGTTGAAAAGGGAGGGGGGGGGACACGGCCGCAATGGACTGCAAAAATATTAACTACCTTTTAGCAAAAAGCGGGCCAAGCTGACGTCAAGTTTTGTAGAAAATTATGTTTTACAATGCGAAAATTGAATTTCAGTTTATTGTTTTCTGCAGCTCGCTCTTGTTCGTTCGTTTTTCACATTTTTGCTTTACGATTAACTGTTAAATGCAGCCGACTTTTCGCCGTTTTGTGGCTGCAAGTCAACGACTTTTCCACGTGTGTTGGCTTTTCTTTGACTTTTTTTATGCAACCTTACAGGAACATGGCGAAATCTGGTTGCTTACCAAATTGAACGGAAATGTTTATTAGTAAGGTGGCATAAAAAGCTAGCTTTATATTCTTTAAGAAGCTTGAAGGATTTCGATTAAGGCAATTAAGTATTTGAAACAAAAAAAGAAATACTTGTTGGAAACATTTTTAAGGTCGAACAATATGCCTCTATCTCATCTATTAAGATATAATATAAAATATATATGTTAAAAAAAAAAATTATATATGACCATACTTTTTCAACAATTTACACTTTTGTTTATTGGGGCTCTTCTTGAAGTTAAGAAAATAAAGTATACACTTAGGCTGCGTTTTGTTGACAGCCCAAATAACACTAACATAAGACTAGGAACTAATTCACGTGCACCGATCTCTGTGTCTCTTCTGTCGCTTTCTCGCTCTCTCCCGTCGCCGCCAGCTGTTCGTCCAGAGGCGCAGCACAAGGGGGTTTCCACTGGCCGTGGCCACCTTTCCACCGGCACCCGCCATGCGCCCCACGCCGCCCAACCAGTTCGACTGACGCCTCTGCACGTAGGGTTGCTGCGAGGCGGTGCGGAAGTAGAAGCTCCCCTGCGCACGCCTCTGCGAATGGATCCCGAACCGCGCCTTCCGGTTCCCGTCGCAGTATCCCGCGGAGAACTCCCGGTAGCTGCCGCACTCGAATCCCACGAACGGATACTCGGGATCCATCGACTGACGAAAGAAAATCGCAGCCGCCGAATGGCTGCAGGAAATGGGATCTACAAAGGGAAAGGAATTTGAGAATAAGTGTTCAATACTTAATCTTATTTTGACGATTGTAAAAATCGTTGTCTAAATAAAATCTTTCATTATGTTAGTTACTTTTTCATTAAGAAAAATAAATATTCCTTCAAAACTCTGTGCAGCACCAAATAAAATTCCTGGCTCTGTAACTGAACTGATCACTCACTGGTATTCTGCATATCCCGCAGATTGGCGAACATCTTGCAGTTCGTCTGGGGCGCCCTGCCTCCGTTGGGATAGAAGTCGGCGTGTCCGCACTTCAGACTTGTGCCCAGTGATCCGCCGGAGGTGTGGAGCACCTGGACGAACTGGGCATCGCCGGGATCCAAGCGATACTTCGGCGACACCTCGGCGGGCAGCGAGAACAGCGGTCCAGCGGGATCCAGTCCAATTATTTGCTCCACCTGCCCCTCCAGAACCGCTCCCGCATATCCAGCTGCATGGGCGCCCAAACTGTACCCCGCCAAGGTGACGTTGCTCCGATGAAAGTGAGTGGGTCGCAGTTCCTCCAGCGCCATTATAATCCCCGCCACCGTAATTCCCACATCGAAAATGGACATGGAAGCCGACTTGTAATCATTCTGTGAGAGGTTTCCCCAATCGACAACGCACACATTGTAGTTCGAGTCGAAAAGGGTCCAAGCTGGGTGTAAAATAATGTTTGCAGATTATAATCACTATAATATTCAAACGCTTACTTAACAATAGCTCTTGCACCCAGTCCTTGCTGCCTTGATCATTCCAACCATGCAGGAATAGAGCCAGCTTTTTATTGGGATTCAGTCGACGAAATCCCCGAAGGTCCCCCAGTTGCAGATGGAAGTGCACTTCATTGCCAAAATCCTTAGCTGAACTAAAAGATATATTTTTAGTTTTTCAACTCTCTTTTAGACCACAACAACTCAGGGAATATGAAAGAATGTAAGATAATATGGCTGGGATAAAACAAATATCATAATGACTGGTCAAATATTTCGTGCATAAACTCTTGTTGATTAATATTCACCCACTTACATGGTGCGACACTCGAAGACGATGCCATGGTTGAGGTGGGCCCGCTCCAGACTGTTCTTGAGCATCGTCTCCTGGATGTAGCGGAAGGCCTTCATCATGGGACTCCAGCGGTGGATGGCCCCGATCCTCGGGACATCGCCGAGCAGGCAGAGCAGGCAGCCAAGGAGCAGCAGGTGGGTCGCGTGACCGGGCATGCGGTCAGTCAATCATGCACCACCGAAAACCACACACACGCACACACAACACTTCACTAACTCTTGCCACCAACAGAAAAAAAGAAGGGTCTTGAAGACACCGCGAGTTCGAAAGGGAGGGGGGAAGAAAGGGGAGTGAACTGGAGATCCGAAGACGGAAGACTCGCTTTTCTGGACCGCTTGCTTTGCCCCGTGGCTGGCTACTGAAGAACCCGACTCGCTTGTAACTCCAAAAGACCCGTGAAGACGATGATCATCATGCGGCTGATGATCGTGATGCAAACTTACACAGCAGAAAATCAGGCAGTACTAATCTCGTTCCACTTAAAAAAAGCTATCAAATTCCACATGAAAAGGTATCATAATTATCCATATCTCCTAGCTAAAAAAGTATTATAATATCCACCACTTTATTAGTTTGAATATCAGGTTTCGGCACCCACTTTCTCCCAGTGCATCGGATGCTGATGACCCTGCTCTCCGCTAGCTCTCATCAACTCCGGCGTTCTTGGCCGCGTGTTTGCACAAGTGAAAGTACAAAAAAGCTTGTAACAACTTTTCGACTTTGACTTCGATTTCGATTTCTTTTGAGCTGGGAATTTGTATTCTGTATTCTCCATTTGGTGTTTGGTATTTGGTATTCGATATTCGGTACTCGGCACTCCACTGATCTTGACATAGAAGCCAGCCAGCAAACGGTAGCCACGAATTTCCGACTTGTCATGGCTTTTGTTTATAGTTTACTTTGGCAGCTGAGCAAACCGCACCGAACAGAAATCGATAGTAAAAACCGAAAGACAAGACGGCCCATTCAGGCCTCATCTCGGATCGAATAGTTTAATTTAAGTGCAGTCATAAACTTCAGAGGGAGTTGATCTAGGGACACGCTTTCTCGATGCACTGAAAAGAAAAATTTGGTCAGCCAAATCCAATGTTTATAAAATATAAAAAGAAAAAACAGAAAATAGTAGTATACTGTTTTTTTTAAATATACATCAAATTCTAAAAGAGTTTTGAAGATATACCCACATAAATACATAAAGCAATATAAGTAGACCAATAACTATGCATCTTTTATTTTAAAATTTTGAACAGTGCTCTTTGGGCTACACAAATGGCGGATAACTTACAAAGTCTGACCCAAAATGCCGTTTTTATGTCCAGCTCATAAAATATGATCGGCTTACAAGAGATGAACCATAAAATAATCTCGCCCGCTGCCACTTCAACCCGCCTATTTCCCGGTTTTTGGCCGAGCTTTCTAACCAACATGTGTTAAACGAAAGCAAAGAAAGAAGAACGCTAATGATGCGCAAGTAAAGTGCCAAACGAATTTCGTTGTCTTCGCCCCATTGTTTTTCACATATAAATTTTGGGAGAGACACAAAGCTTTGGATCGTCTTCTATTTCTAACTCCCGTCTTTCTTCTGGCTTTGTTTTTGGCGATTTCTGCTTTTGGCAGTCGATCAATTTACATATCTATCTGTAGCTTCTTTTTCTGTCCACCTGTATTTCTGCCGTCTATTTCTGTTTATCTGGCCTCGATGTCAATTTTATGCACAACACTATCAATCTGGCAGAAAAACAGAAGATTTTGGGCAGAGAAGACGTGCAGATTGGAATGTATCTTGAAATTAGATATTTTATTGAAAAATTTATAGAGGTATGCCACTTGTAAATCGGATAAGAATTGGAAAGGTTATTCGTTTAGAACTGCTAAGATTTGAAAAGACGGGGGTCATAAAAACTGAAAAAAACATGAACAATTGAAAATAAAATAGTGATACAGTTTTTTACGTATTAAAATAACAAATTCACTGATTTTATTATTTGTTCTTTAAGTCAAATATATATTCAATTCGGTAAGCTGGGCGTATGAATTTAATTAAACTCTTGGCGAAGTGGGAACAATCGCTTATTTGGATTAAATATTCATGAATGATCAAAAGTTTTTTCTGCCTTCGCACTTCGCAGAGTTTTCCCAGTCGTTTTCCTCGAATTTCCTTTCGTGCACTTCGGAGTTTTGCGGGCTTTTGTTTTGGCCATTTTCTTCATGTGTCTCTATCATTAAGGCAGAGTGCGGCTTAATTGTTGCCGCAGACAATGGCTGGATTGTTAAGAGGGCGGGTGCTGAAGGGGCTAGAATTCCACCCGACCCACTCCTCCCCCTCCCTCCGGTTAGAACCCCTTGGCCCACAGTTGCGTTGCCTATTAAGCAGCATCATAATAATAATGTGTAACAACAAGAGCAACAACAACAGCTGCTGGCAATAACTTCTGCATATATACATATATGTGTATACATTTAAGTGTATGTGTGTGTATCAGCTTATACTCGTATTTGTAAGTGTTTGGGGACGCATTCAAAGCAATTTCCACAATTTTCGTATTGTTTACTTAATTAATTCTGCACAAAGATTTTCATTTGCAACTGTGTGTGTGTGTGTGTGTGTGTAAGTGTGTGTGGCCCTCGCAGATGTTTTGTGGTTATTACAGCAAACCAACAACACTCGTTCGACAACCCAGCCCCAAACCACCTCCCCCTTCCCCCTTATTCAACCCCCTCCCCCCTGAATCCAATATCCATTCGGGCAGACAAAACGCGTAATGAGTTTATAACATTTAATGAATCCACAGCCGCAGCACAATGCGGCGTATGCGTAATGCGACCAACTCTCGGCGAAGCGACAGCTTAAAGGCTCCTTAAAGTATGCAACAAGTCGCAGGCGAGTGCGATTAATTACGTGGCACTTCCCCGGATTTTAATTAGATTGCGAATTCAACAGACTTTCATGGAAATTACCATTAGCTAACAATTGTTCAATGCTGCATTCGCCTTAACGAACTTACATAAAGCTAATGCCAGTCAATTGGTAAAATAATACATTCAGTTATTTGTATAGTTTAATTTAAATCATAAAATGCGAGGCCAATGTAATAAAAAGACCATTGAGTTGGGTTGCCTTGCAATTACTTAATTGATTGCATCCAAATCTGCTTATTTCACAAAGAAACATAACGTCAACGTACCAAGTTATAGCAATAAAATCACTTTCAAAATTCGCTAAAGCAAAAGCTTTTCTTGAATTTATAGAACTTTTTATTAATTTGACTTTTATAATTTAATTTTAACAGTTAAACTGAATGCTATTAAGAATTCTACATCAACTCATAACTTAGCTGAATTAGGAGTATTATAACCTCGAGTAAACTTCTTTTTTTCCGGAAATTCTCCCGCATTTTAGGGCTTAAAATAAAGCGAGTTCAGAGTTCGCGGTGCTCAAATGTTAGTGGAAGTGGAGTTCGACTCCTGTTTTCCCATTATTCCGCTTAAATTTTCAGACTACTATGGGCGGCAGTGGGCGTGGCATCAGCATTGACTTTCGATTTGTTGTTGTTATCTTCCGCGAAGGGAAACTATTTTACCGCTCAATTGATTTTGCAATTTATTTGCGCGCATTATGCGAAGGAGGATGTAGACGGCGGGGGATGAAAAAAAAGGGGGGAGGGGGGGGGGTCTATATAGCCTGCAGGATAGATGTTGATACTCACACGTGTCCTGGGCCTTGAAAACAGACCAAGGAACGAACGAACGATACTGGTGGCATTTTCAATTCTATTTACTCCCAATAATCATCATCAATGTCAGTTTTGCCGGCACTAAAATGAAAATAAAAACAAGCCAGGCAAACAATTTTTGTTTTCCTTTCAAGTACTCAATGCGATACTCGATACTTGACTAGCTCCCTGCCTGCCTGGCTCGCTCTGAAACAACAACAAAAACGTCAACAGGATCATTGGCAGAAGCCGACAGAAAGAGACGGGTAGAGTGCAGAATGGGGATAAAGAAAGAGAGGGGGCGACGGAACGCATTGAGAGTTGATGTTTATATCGATTGCTGGCAATTTTGTGAATTACAACAGACAAACACTACTGCCGAGTGAAAGGGAAAGAGCGATGGGCGCAAAAGCGCTAGAAAGAGAGGGGTATACGTGGCGAGAAAGAGAGGCACTCACTGGGGGGACACACTTGAGACACGTCGTCAGCGACGTGAGCATGTTGCTGTAGTTTTTCCCCCCGTCCTGTCTTTTTTACAGTTGCCGTTGTAAACACAGCAAGAAAATATGCTGTATACCTTTTAAATATTTTTGAATATTTTTAAATTTGAAAAAAGCTGAAAGTTTTATGACCTTATTTGAGTTAAATACAAATCATCCAACATATAAATTATCTATTTCAAGCAGACACATTTATTTAAATGCTGATAATATACTGATAAAAAAATGTGTAGGCATTGAATAACCAATTATCAGCATCCTAAACAAATTGAGCTGAGTTTTTAGATTTTTTTCTCAGTGTAATTGTTGTTGTCGCTGTGTTGCCATGTCGCTGGCGTTTGTTGAATTGCTGGAGTGGCGGCGGCTTGGAGGACAAGTAGTGTCGGGGTCACCAATTCAGCAGTCACCAGTCGCAGCAGTTCCCACCACCCACCACCCTCCTCCCTCTTTTACCGTTAGCACCAACGACACAGTCACACACACACACACAATCGTAGTGAGAAGTCATGAAAGACAACGTAGCGGGACGGTAATCACAATGTGTCAAAGTTCAGGCGACAAAACTTAAGAGTCTAACTAAAAAACCTTCTTGTAGATACAAAAATTAAAATATGACCAGTTATTTTACTTAATTTTATTCAACCTGTTTCCTGTATTTAATACTTTAAATCTCATTATTATTATTAAAGAGGACAACTTTATTTTATGTTTCCATATTTCAAAAACTTGACTCATTAAAATCGGTTTGCATTTCAACATTTTATTCGCCTGCTGTGAAATTCCGCTGCTGTGTTGCGATTTTGCACGCCTGATGCCTTGATACTTGATACTTGACTCTGCTCTAGTTCCTCGCTTTCCCTTTCCCCCCTCCCATTTCCCCTCCCTTACTCCCCTTCACATTTCATTCTGTTCTGTTCCGCCATGTTCACCCATTCACCTCACACACACACACACACACACACACACATGCAGACCGGCATGCACTCGGAGACAAAACTAAAACAACGAATTACGTTAAATCAGTTTTTATACTCTAAAAGAGGGCTTTTAAGAAAATAATATTGAATGCACAATACAAAAAAAAATGTGAAAATTGTTTTTTTATTAAAGAATAGAATCTGGTTGAAGAGG